CGTTTCTGTGGTTCAAACTGAATTGATTTAGTATTTTCTGAATTGATTTAGTATTTTCTGAATTGATTTAGTATTTTCTGAATTGATTTAGTATTTCAGTAGAACTTCCTGCACGTCTGAAATGTTTCCTGAATTGATCAATTTTGGGTCGATCAGATTTAAGTTTTCTTTAAATCCTAAATTAAAAATGTTTGTTCTTTTCTACAGTTTTGGCTCCGATATTGTTGCTCATTAATCAGAATTAATATTTGTGAGTCTTAATAATTGATCACTACATTAGTGATGATTATCCTGCGATTAATCGCGGTTTGTGGTCTAAATTGTCTGAACCGTCTGAGCTTCGCTCTCGGCTGATTTTTAGTGATATTTTCAGTTTTCGGTCTCAGTCTGAAGCTTCATCTGAACATTTTTTCATCGTTTCGCCTCTGAACTCGACTTGCTGTCATTTGGTTTTAATGGTTTCAGGCTGAAGGTTTTCAATCTGCTCCTTTCTGCTGCTAATGGATTTCTCTCAGACTAATTATTCATCTGCAGTTTCTCCTGGAATCTCTCAGTTTATTATTTAGCATTTTTCAGCTGCTGGTGTTTTTTGTTTCCTTCAGGATTTAATGAGCTGGTTTTGCATTATGCATCACCTGCCGGCTTCGCTGCGACATCTGGGGAAGTTGGCTTCACTCCAAGATGGCGGCCAGCGAGGCTCATTACTCGTTAGGCCTTGACGCCGGGCCCGGCGGAACCGGCCGGACCCGGTGGGAGTCCCGTCGCTCAGACAGTTAATTTAGCTGCAGAACATCTTCAGGTTCTGGTCGGGAAGCGGAGCGAAGGTTTCTGGGAACAGGAAGCATCTGGTCTTTCTGCTGATATTATTATTATTAATAAACTTCTAGTTCTGGTTATATTATATTCCTGTATTTTTAAAACTGATACCAAAGTATAAATTCACAAAATGATTAACATCCTTCATTTTAATGTTTTTTTTAGTGTAGAAATTCTCATAAAGTTATTTATTATTATTACAACTTTTTTTGTATTTTATTCTCACAATATTTTGACTGTTTTCTTTCGTATAACTTCTTGTAGAACTAAAACTTTTTAAATATTATTTTAACTTTTTTTGGTAAAATTATGATTTTATATGATTTATTATCCGTTTCATTTTTATGCTCCTGTTATCATAACTTTTTTCTTCATAATTAGAACTATTTGATATCATCATGATGATTTAATAATATGTAAAGTTATTCCGTATTATTTTAGTTTATGTTCATGTTATTATGATTTTTCAATATTGGAATTTAAAATAATATAAATAATGTCTATTTTTGTCATAAAACCTCATATTATTACTATTTTTTTCTACATCTTTATCTTATTGATATAACTTTATTATTAATAACATTATAATTCTTATAACTTCTGGGATTATTGCAACTTTTTCATATATCAAATTTTTATTCTGGTAATTTAACAGATTTATTTTCTAAAATAATTTTCAGCTCCAGTTTTTATTCATCGGCTGAATATTTTCAGTCTCGCTTCAGTTTAGTAAAACTGGGAATAAATAAATATTAATTTATTAAACATCAGAAACAGATTTATTAAAATTGAATATTTCTGCTCCGTCTGCAGCCTCGGGTTTCTCAGCAGGTCTCTGAGTTTGGACCGGGCCGAACGGACCGGGCCCGGTTCTGCAGCAGAACCAGAACCATTAGACAAACTGGTTCTGCTGTTCAGCCTGCAGGTGGAATCGTTTGAGAAAAAGCAGCCAGAGTTTAGATTTTCTAGTAACTGACCATCATTCGCCTGTTTTTGATTCGGTTCATTAAACTGTTGGATGATATTTGATCCTGCAGCTTCTGAACAGATTTAATGACGTTTCATGATTCATGTGTTGATGTTTCTCCATCGATAAATAAAGTCGTCGTCAGCAGCAGCACTCCTTCATGACTCAGCGCCGGCAGAATGCTGCTGCACTTTGGACCAGTTCACTCCCACCAGTACCGACTGGGAGGAACCACTGGCTGTTTCATCAACATGGAAACAGATTCTCATGTGGAAACTGTTTAAAAATGAAGCTTCAGCCTCTAAACACCCTAAATGTTTTATTCTGTGATGTCGATTTCAGATTCACTGAGGAGTTTTTCAGATTGAGATTATTAATCTGAGAAAATTAATGATATGTTTGGTTAGAAGAATCTGAGACCAACGACAGAATCCAGATGATTTATGAAGAAAACATGGAAAAAATAAGATCAAAGATTATCAGCTGATCAGATGCATTGATTAGCTGCAGGAGATTTCAGGTTGTTGGCTCAACGCCAGGGCAGGAAGACGACGGCAAACGAAACGAAAACCGAATCTGTTCAGAAACTGGTTGCTTAGCATTCTTCTCTCTGAACAGATTCTCCTCTCTGAACAGATTCTTCTCTCTGAACAGATTCTCCTCTCTGAACAGATTCTTCTCTCTGAACAGATTCTCCTCTCTGAACAGATTCTCCTCTCTGAACAGATTCTCCTCTCTGAACAGATTCTCCTCTCTGAACAGATTCTTTCTCTCTGAACAGATTCTTCTCTCTGAACAGATTCTCCTCTCTGAACAGATTCTCCTCTCTGAACAGATTCTTCTCTCTGAACAGATTCTTCTCTCTGAACAGATTCTCCTCTCTGAACAGATTCTTCTCTCTGAACAGATTCTTCTCTCTGAACAGATTCTTCTCTCTGAATAGATTCTTCTCTCTGAACAGATTCTCCTCTCTGAACAGATTCTTCTCTCTGAACAGATTCTTCTCTCTGAACAGATTCTCTCTCTGAACAGATTCTCCTCTCTGAACAGATTCTTTCTCTGAACAGATTCTCCTCTCTGAACAGATTCTTCTCTGAACAGATTCTTCTCTCTGAACAGATTCTCCTCTCTGAACAGATTCTCCTCTCTGAACAGATTCTTCTCTCTGAACAGATTCTTCTCTCTGAACAGATCTCCTCTGAACAGATTCTCCTCTGAACAGATTCTTCTCTCTGAACAGATTCTTCTCTCTGAACAGATTCTTCTCTCTGAACAGATTTCTCTCTGAACAGATTCTTCTCTGAACAGATTCTCCTCTGAACAGATTCTCCTCTGAACAGATTCTCCTCTGAACAGATTCTTCTCTCTGAACAGATTCTCCTCTCTGAACAGATTCTTCTCTCTGAACAGATTCTTCTCTGAACAGATTCTCCTCTCTGAACAGATTCTCCTCTCTGAACAGATTCTCCTCTCTGAACAGATTCTCTCTGAACAGATTCTCCTCTGAACAGATTCTCCTCTGAACAGATTCTTCTGTCTGAACAGATTCTTCTCTCTGAACAGATTCTCCTCTCTGAACAGATTCTTCTGTCTGAACAGATTCTTCTGTCTGAACAGATTCTCCTCTGAACAGATTCTCCTCTGAACAGATTCCCATATTCTCTCTGTTTCCTCTTCAAGTCTTTGGATCTACAAGTTGCTGCAGTTTTGAATTGAATTTATTTTAAACAGTTTATAATCTGTAATCCCAAACTCTCCAAATGTTCCACATCTGTGGTTTCCTGAATATTCTGGAAGTTTTCTTGGATTAAAAGGACAAAAGCTGAACTGATTCATTCTGAACGTCATCAGAAAGGAATCAGACTCTCCTAGAAACAAAGAAAAGGGAAAGTTCCTGACATTTAGTCACATATTTACGTCTGTTGGAGATTTTCAGATTTAAACTCTTTAATTTGAGATTTTCTCAGATTATTATTGATGTTTTTGTTCCATTAAATGAAAAGTTCCTGAACTTTAAAGACATAAAGGATGAAAGTTATGATGTATCTGAGTGCCAGATGTTGCGTAATATCTGCCAGTGTGTGTGTGTGTGTGTGTGTGTGCAGTGTGTGTGTGTGTGTGTGTGTGTGTGCAGAGTGTGTGTGCAGTGTGTGTGTGTGTGTGTGTGCAGTGTGTGTGTGTGTTTGTGTGTGTGTGGAGTGTGTGTGTGTGTGTTGTGTGTGTGTGTGTGGGGGGGGGTGTTTGTGTGTGTGTGTGGTGTGTGTGCGTGTGTGTGTGTGTGTGTGTGTGCATTGTGTGTGTGTGTGTGTGGTGTGTGTGTGTGTGTGTGTGTGTGTGTGTGTGTGTGTGTGCGGCGCGGTCTCGTTAAGCCGGCCTGCTCGTCAGGGCGTGTCGGACCTGGAGTCGAGCCCAGGGCGGCGCCCTGAACACTCCCTGAGGTGTGAATCCAACCCGGAGCAAAACTCTGACTTCACTTTCATTTCTGATTCGATTTTAATTAAAAAAGTTTCCAGATTAATAAAATCTGCAGTAAAAACATTAAAACATGATGAACTTTAAACACATCAGCAGCTCAGGGTGTGTTGGCTTCAGTCTGCTCCAGGGGGCGCTGCGCCACCGATTGATGCATCTAAACCAGAAAATAATCAGCGGATCCAAACCGGACAAGTGAATAATACCGTTTACGGAAAAACATTAGTGCTGAAATTAATTCCTGACTTTCTTCCTCCACTGAACGTTTTGACTTTTTTCTGTTCTGTCCTCAGTTCCTTCCCTCTATGACTCCTTCTCTCCTTTCCTTGGTCTGCTCTTCCTTCCTTATGTCATCTTTTTTTTCCTCACAATTTTGTAATTTTCTTCTTTGTGTCATTCCTTCATTGTTTTACTTTCCTTCCTTCCTTCCTTCCTGCCCTGCTTCCTTTCTTTCTAGCCGTTTTCCTTCCTAGTGATCTTTATTATTTAATCACTCTGAATGAAGGAACCTGACCTTTGACCTCTGCTCTTCTTCTCCTCCTTCCTTGTTTCTTTCTCTGTCTTTGAGCCTCTCACTTTGCTGCCAAAACTTTTTCTGTGTGTTGAGCCAATCGGGTCGGTTCCTCAGCCTGAGGTTCTGTGTGTTGAGCCAATCGGGTCGGTTCCTCAGCCTGAGGTTCTGTGTGTTGAGCCAATCGGGTCGGCTCCTCAGCCTGAGGTTCTGTGTGTTGAGCCAATCGGGTCGGCTCCTCAGCCTGAGGTTCTGTGTGTTGAGCCAATCGGGTCGGCTCCTCAGCCCGGCTGACTCTCTGCCAGCTGCAGGTTGTCGTTAAGGTCGTCTCCATGTACACAGCGGCTCGGCTCGGCTCGGCCCGGCCCACCCAGCCGCTCTCCCACGGCCCAAACCTCCGTTAGTTTGAGCTCAGGCAGGAAAAGGCTCAACATGAACGTCTCTGCAGATCCCACTGTGAGTATTTCACAAAAACAAAACTAAAAATCTGCTGTTGGGCCTTTAACTCAGACCTACTGAGTTCTGGTTCTGTTCTTGCTGTTTGGATCCGATTTGTATTTAAACTCAAAAATGCATTTTTAGAACAAAATTCTTAATTTTCTACTTAGAAAACCATTGTACGGAAACCCATAGCTGTCAAAATGCAGAGTCAATGTGAGAAAAAGAAAGGTAGACATGATTATTGTTTTGATTAATAAATGAAACATTTTTAGAAGCAACATCCTCCTGGCAGATTTTTCACAGTTACAACTTGATTTCTAAAATCCAGTATGGCCGACTTTCATAAATCAATGTTGCAGATGCTGTAAACAATGTTTATTTCAGTCCCATTAGACATAAAAATGTAGTTTTAAAGGTTTTATTGATGACTGTAGCCTCCTGGTTGCTGAATATTTTAGTTAGCAAATCATTTGGAAATGAAATGTTTTTAAATTCTCCTCTTAAGTCACTTCTTAAAGAAAATAGAAAGAACCACGTTGATTGTTCTAGCTAACAGAGGCTAGCTGTATTTTTAGCATTCAACTATCATGTTGTTATATTTAGTTATCTGATATAAATAAACCTTAAAGCAGAAGGAAATAAATCACAGTTAAAGGTTATAATCAGTCTGTAAAGTTTATACGTGTATAAACCATCATCAAGTAGCTAATGCTGTGAGCTAGCATGGAAGCTAGCTTCTTAAGCTTTGTGCTTATCAAAAATTACTTTTTCTTGATTCCCTAAATAAACATAACTTGTCAGTTTAAAACCAAATTCAAGTCCAGACTAATATTTATGTTACAACAGATTTATGAGTTGTTGGATTAGCTACATGCTAACATTCACTTAGTTAGCTTCAACTCTATTAGTTTTACCAGTTGTAGTTTAACTGACACCCAGTAGATTCTTCAGGTTCATTATTACTTTGAAATCCTCCTGATGTTGTTAAATCTGTAGTTTTTAGCCAGTAGCTCTGAAATGTGTATTGCTAACATCAGCTGTTAGCCTTTTTATAAACCAAAGCAGGGACACATTCAGGCCGTTCTGAAGGATCCCTGCAGAGCAGCAGAGTCATTTTAATGATGGTTAGCCCTATTAGCATATCATTTTTACTTAAAACCATAAAATGTGAGAATCTCCTTTGATAGGGGAGACCTGTCTGCTAGAAATTATATTTCTATAGAGCTAATTTGTTTCTCCAATTACATTTAGCTGTGTAACATAATTAGTGGGGAACATTAGCAGCATATAAGCCTAATTTCTAAGAGACGAGGTCAAGGAGTAACGAGGACAGAATTATAGCGTCTCATTCATCAGGCGCCACTTTGCTGCATAATTACCTTTTATTGAAGCTAAACAAGTTTGTTGGAGCTTCTGATGGTTGAACGCAACTTAAATAATGTTCAGTTTTAACATTTCGTCCTGTTTGTGAAGCGAGTGAGACTTTCTGAGAGGAGTAAAAACACAGTGGACGGTTCTGATTGCGTTTAATCAGCCATCACAGCGTTTGTGTCGCCGGCGTCCGGCCCACTCATGTCACGACTTCTTCAACTCGCGCAGCGCGGGAAACAAATTCACTGCCGTCTGTCCATCTGTGTTTTCTGCAGAGAAAAGCAGATGAAGACTTTTGAGTCGTGAAGGTTCAGGATTACAATATTCTCTGTAGGTGTTTTACTCGTCATTTAATTGCTCATTAAATTTCAGGAATCTTTGCCTGAATTTTTCTCCTTTTGCATTTTTTGGTGGATGTTCTTAAAATTTGTTTAGCCTCTAAAATGTCGGCTTGTGTTTCAAAAACCGTTTAATTAAACTTGCAGAGGAGGCAGGAAACTCTGGGAAATGGACCTTTGACCTCCAAACAAGGCGATTTATTCACTGCACTGCAAAAACACAACCAAGTGTTTTTATTTAGCGTCTCGTGCAAATGAGACAAAACTTACGCAGGAGTCACTTTTTATCAAGACAGAAGAAATTGTCTTGATAAAAGATGATGAAAAATTGATGAAAAAAGTTTATTTATCTGCAGTCAAATTCTGACATTTCATCATGTCAATTATTGTCTAAAAACAATCTCTTATATCTTGCTGTAAAATTACTTAAAGTGAATTCATGTGAAATAATAGTTTATCTGCAGTTTGCTGCAGATAAACAACGTTAACTAGCTGCTTGCTAGTTAGCGTAGCTGTGAATGTCAGCAGCTCTTCCTCTGCTGGTTTCAGACGCTGTGAACGTTCTGGAAGTTGACTCGGGTTTCCTGATGCTTGATGAATCCCTGCTCTCCCTCTCTCTGCTCAGACTCCAGGTTTCCAGAGGAACAGAGAGGAGCTGCCCTTTTCTGTGGACGAACTACGGCAGCTGATAGAGGACAAAGTTAGCTTCCTGTGGTTAGCGACTGCAGACGACCAGCAGGTAAAAACCTCAAAACTCCAGAGTTCATGCAGCAGATCCACTCAGAGGAGTTCAGGAACTGAACTAAATGAATCAGATTCATTACCGATCTGAACAGTGCGGAGTGATTTTTTTTTTTTAGTCAGGCTTTTCTGGAGAACCTCTGTGAATGTTAGTTTCCAGGTTTTTCCTCAGACTAAAGTTGAATTTAGCTCAAACTGACACTTTGAGTTCTGGGTAAAACATGTTTTTTCCATTTTGATGCAAAATATTTATGTATATTTTTTGTACAGTTTGTTCTTTTCTGAATCAATATATTCCAGTTAACAACTAATAAATTACTAAATTAGTTTTATATTATTTCTATAATTGATTCTCTGATTAATTGTTTCAGCCCTATCAGAAAATAACTGAATATAAATGTACACCACACTTTTCAGATTACATTTTTTCCCAATATTGTATTATGAATCATTTTCCTCCTCTGTTGTTTTATTACATAAAATCTCCGAAATAAGAAACTAAATGAAGTAAAACCTGGAAATGTTCATATTTGGAGGAGAATCCGTTTGATTTCAGAATATGAGGTTCTGATCCCGGTTCTGTGAGGTTCTGATCTCGGTTCTGTGAGGTTCTGATCTCGGTTCTGTGAGGTTCTGATCTCGGTTCTGATCCCGGTTCTGTGAGGTTCTGATCTCGGTTCTGATCTCGGTTCTGTGAGGTTCTGATCTCGGTTCTGTGAGGTTCTGATCTCGGTTCTGTGAGGTTCTGATCTCGGTTCTGATCCCGGTTCTGTGAGGTTCTGACCATCTGGTCTTGGTTTCATCACCACTATTCAGGAATCGGCTTCAGTGGTGCCGAGGTTAAAAACCAAACTGAGATTATTAATAATCCTTCATCCGATTTATTCCTCCTGAAAAAACTCAAAATATCAACAAATAGTTTAAATACTTTCACAGGAAACAAAATTAACCTACAGGTAAAAAATTGCAGCTTTTTCAAGTCGATAAATAATCGCTTAAATATTTCCCCTGGTGGATTATTTAAACGACTGGATTATTAATAATCTGCCAGTGGAGATTAACACTTTCCCATCAATATGAGGGGATTATTGATCGGTTTGCAGCTGAACGTTGTTCTGTCGGGTCTTCTGGGACGTTTCTCTGGAGATGTTGTTGTTGCTGGTCGGTTCTGACTCAGTCGGACTCAGACGGGCAGATGACGGGGCGGATCGGGTCGATCTCCGCGTTCTGCCAGGATGACTCAGCCGGTCTGTTGTCTTCCAGCCCACGGCTCTCCGAGGCCTCTGGCCGCTGCAGCAGGCTCAGACTGGACCAGAACCGAACCGCTCCGCCGGTACTGATGAGGTTTCTGCCCTCGCTCTGACCCGGTTCCTCTGGGTCTGACCCGGTTCCTCTGGGTTCTGCTCGGCCTTCGCTCTGGTTCAGATTACATCTTCATTTTAACTGGAAACTCAGAAACTGTGATGTAACCGGGCTCTTAAAGGGCCGGTTCACCAGAACCATTGGTCCAGATCCGTTCGTCTGGACCGAACATTTCTCCTCAGCAAGTACACGGCGACAGTGGAGAGCAACAAACACGACTTATTGGTGTGGCGTTTAAGCATTAGCTTCAAAATACCGTCTTTGTAAATAGCTTTAGCATTAGCCTTGCTAAATAAAAGGTGGGTGTAGCGCTTTAGCATTAGCTTCGCTAAAAACCATGTTGGAATAGCGCTTTAGCATTAGCTTCACTAAAAACCATGTTGGATTAGCGCTTTAGCATTAGCTTCTGCTAAATATGAAGTTGGCTTATTGCTTTAGTTGTCTCGTCCATATGTCTCTCTCTCTCTCAGGGATTCTGTTGCTCGCCCTAGAGGTCAGGGGTCAGGGGAGCTAGTAGCAGCAGTAGCTCCGTTAGCTTGTGAAATTAAAAACTTCCGGTTCTGGTTCCGTCTCTAACGTCTCTCATTTTGACATGTCAGGAGGTTTCAGTGTTTCCCGGATGCGTCGTCCGTGGCCTGGTTACAGGATGACCTCTGACCTCTGTTTGAAATGTTCCCTGTCAGGGTTTGGTGTTGGAGGAGAACCCAGAACAGGAGCTGTCACGGTTTGCTGCTCTGAGTCGGGAGTTGACCTTTCACCTCCAGGAGCTGCAGAGCCGAACGGAGCAGGAGCTCAGAACCATCCAATCACAGTGAGTGGAACCATGTTAACGTTCCTGTTGCTGTGGAGACACTGTGGATGTAAACATGGTGAAATTTAGCAGGTTAGCATTAGCCTCCACTAGACACCACACTGCTGTTAGCCGCTTGATGTAGCATTTAGCTTTGAGACTGATGGTGATGTAGCAGAGGATTGTGGGACGTTTAATGTTGTGATCAATATTGATAAATATTGATTTTGGCTCAGATTTTCATTCGGTTCATCCTGAGTTTTACATGAACTGAACTGCTGTTTATGTTAATCATGTTTTTTCAGGTTATTTGATCAAAATGTGTCTTTTTCTGACAGTTAATCTTACAGCTGGTGACATCACTGCACAGCTTTGCTTGTTTTATCGTATTAATTGACACTTAAAAGGCAAATATCAGCTCATTTACCAGCAGAAAAGGATCAAACAAAACTTTAAAAGTTGTTTCAGTTTCTCAGAACATGAAACCTCATGTTTGTTTTCTTAGCTCTTCTCTCTGTGCTGTTATGTTTGGAGCGTCTGTGGATGAGCGCGGCGGCCGCGGCGGCGCTGTTTGAACATGAGTGGGTGTGGAGCGGCTCGGTGTTGGTTTGTGGGATTTTCTTGTCACATGAAAGCGTCTCCTGACAGCAGCAGGTTCTGCTTCGCTGCAGCGAACAACAGGATCTTACTTGCCTTCCTGGGTTGTTGGAGTGGAGCAGAAGCTGAGGGAGGGAAACGAAAGTGGATTCTTCGTCCGTTCGTTTGTAGGAGGGATTCACCTGTGGGAACCGCCGCAAACGGAAAAAACCATTAATGAGGCACTGACTTCCTGTCTGGACATTTTAAACCTGGACCAGTGATGGAAGCTTCATAAAACTTGAATCGTCAAATTTAAACAAATAAGTTTGATCTTTAAAGTGTTTTAATCAAAATTAGCTTCATTCACCAAGCTGTGCACAAACAAGGAATTTGATATTGATTTCACTTTCTGTTTACTGTAAATATGCAAAAAGGAAAAGTAATACATACATATTTAACTTTGAAGCCAAAAAGTATGTGTCCAGCATGTGTGTGGTCTGCAGACGTTAAATGCCTGCACTGAAGTTGACGAGCAAGAGAAAACTAAACGTAACTGAAAACAAAGTAAAATTGAAACAGAAAAAAGCAGCTTGAATCTGAAAATTTGTTCTTTTTTTTCCCCTCACAAACATTTTGGCCTAAATGTAGCTCCATAGGGATGTCTTTGACATGTCCTAACTCCCATATAAAACCCTGGACTGGCATGAAAATGGACCCTCATGTCCACAGGAGCGTTTTGTCCCTTTCAGTGCAGGAATTAGTTTAACTTTAGTTTTCACGCAGTCACTGTTTGAGGGAATCGCCATGGCAATGAGTGACTCAGCATTTTGCTGTTTTAAATAAATCCAACATGGAGCCAAATGTGTTGCACATTTTGAGTCTCTAGTGGACATAAACATGGTGTTGATTGTTGAAGAAGAAACAGGAAGAGGCTTTAACTTGGACTTTCAAAATAAAGTCAAAATATGTCAGTAAAAACAAAGTCTGCTGTTTTATGGTTTAGACTTTTAGAAATTCAGGTTTCAGATACTGAAACTGACCTGAAAGCTGCATGAAGGGATTTAGTTTTTGTTCTCATGTTTTAGAGTGAAAACCGTTAAATATCCAAATAGGAAGTGAAGTTTCTTCAGATAGTTTCATATCCTGAGTTTGGACTTTCTGGGTTGTTCTGTTGGATTTTCTTCATATTTCAGGTTCTTGTGATTCATCAGCTTATTATTTGAATCCTCCTGGCGTAGATGAAGATTTATGAACTTTAGTTTTGGAGTTCATCTCCTTTCTGCTTGACCTTCTTCATACTTTGGACATAAATGGTGTTTTAAATCTGAAATAGTTTCCGGGTCGGATCAGGACCAGCTCTGCTCTCTCATGACGTCGCCGTTTCTCCTTCCATTGTTTCAGAAAAGACGAGTTAAAACACATCGAGGTGTGGCGGCTCACACACACCCACTCCTTTAAACTCTGATCACATTCCAGGAAAACCTCCAGTTTCTCCTCAGATCAGAGTCCAGATGCTGGCGGAGCCTGATGCTTATCACTGCTGCTGCTGCTGCAGCGTGTCGCCGCTGCAGCTGCTGCAGCGTGTCGCCGCTGCAGCTGCTGCAGCGCATCGCCGCTGCAGCTGCTGCAGCGTGTCGTTGCTGCTGCTGCTGCAGGAGGATTTAACGTTCGATCAGCTTCACAAACACAGACTGGTCCTTAGATAAACCAACTTGTGGTTCTCATTTGTTGATTATTAAATCCGTCTCTGCTGCCAGATCAGCACTAAGCACGGTGGAGGAGGAATGATGCTTTGGGCTCCGCAGCCAAAGAACCTGGAAACCTTGAAGTTGTTGGTTTGGGTCAGAGTTCATGGTCCATTCAAAGTTTTCTAGAGTCAGATGTGAGTCCATGTTTGTTCTGGGTTGTTGGGAGAAAACCCTGCTTGAATGGCCTAGTCAAAGTCCAGCTGCAAACTTTAACAAATGAAGTGAGGTTTTTAATTTTATTTAAATTTGGAGTTTTTATGTAAATAATTAGAGAAGTTTAGTTTCATGAGGACTGTGTGGTTGCTGCGGTTACCGCTGACAGCCTGCGGTGATGCAACAGGCGGCTGAGCTGCCAGCAGCAACAGGCCGACTGACAGGTTGGAAACGTCCCAGCTCAGCCGCCGGCTCAGCCGCCGGCTCAGAGCGTCGTCTTTAAACTTTCTCCCGTTTGAAATGACGGGAAAAAGCCGCTGAACCTGCTGGAACCTGAACCCAACGGCTTTGACCTTTGGCCTCCGTTCACCGACCTTCACGGAAAATCAAGAGTCAGCAAATAGTTCTAAAGGAAAAGTGACATTCTGCATTTATTTTTTGCTGACAATATAAAGAGTTCTAACCAGAGTTCTATATTATTAAAATTAATTTCAAATCATCTGAACAACCAAATTAATGAGGAAAACAATCATTTATCAGCGTATTCTCTCTGATGTATCGTAATGATTTATAGTTTGCATTAGTTGAAGCTTTTTTGGGCACCATTACTGGCTGCAGCCCGGGGCCCCTCACTCTGTGGCTCCGGCCCTGGACTCGGTTTTCTCAGTGGAAACATTGAAATGTTGATGTTTTCGTTCTGCGCCTCGGCTGTGACGTGTTTTCTCCGGGTTTCATTCGTCTGAATGAAACACTTTCTGGTGGAAAACAAACAGAAATCCTGATGAACGTGTGAATTCTGCTTGTGAAATAATGAGGAGGTAAAAACCCGGCAGGTTCTGGTGCGTTTTGTCGTCTTCTCGCCTCTCCGTACGCCAACAGAACCGCCGGCAGCGGGCGGAGGAAGTGTTCGCATGTCAGGCGTCGGGTTCTGGTTCCGGTCCACTGGGTCGTTTCCCAGTGGACCGTTCTGAATTCCTCCAATGAACATTTTGAATAACACAAAACGTCAGATTTCACTGTAATATTTTACAGTGAAACAAGGTTTGTTTAGTAAACAAACCTTAAGTTATTATTTCTCTGTATTATTCTGCATTTTCATGAATTATGGAGATCAATTCTGGGTAAAAATGTGTTTATCCCCCGCCCCTTAATATTTCTTCTACTTTTGATTATTTATCACCCTAAAATGATTCTGATCAAACAAATATGAAGTAAAAGCAAAATGAAATTTAAAAATTCTATCAAAACTAACCTTGTTCAGTGAAAAGTAACGGTGGCAGCGGCATGCTGTGGGCCTCCTTTCACCACTGATTAAATCAGCAGAGAAAATAGATGGAAATAAACAGAAACGTCATCAGTTCACGGTTTTTCTCTGGAGGATCACAGATTAGTTTCAATCAAAATATTGTTTATAAACATCTTGAAAATAGATTTTTCAAAAACATGTCAATTAAATCTAATTTCCATGATAATTTATGAACCAAAACTCTTTGTCTCTGTGTTTCTGATCCACATCATAAATAAAATGTGACGTTTAGATGAAGCTTCAGAAACAGAATATGAAGTTGTTTCTCTTTGTGTTTTTAGTCTTTCTTCATCACAGCCTCCTCTTCCTCGTCACAAACACTTCAGATCCTCTGATGCTTTCTAACAGAGGTCTAGTGCCTCCCAGTGGACAGAGGGGGAATCACTCGCTGCTTCCATCATGAATAATGAGATATTTTTCATACAAATCCTGTTTCTATTCAACCTGCAGCTTTGTATTAAAACTTATGTCTGTCTGGACTTTTGCTGTGATATTAATAACCAAACTTTTGTCTCTATTCGCCGTCAGACGGTTAAAACCTGCAGCCTGTCAGGATTTAGGATCCCAACCTGCTGCTGTTATTCACTTCTTTCTGGATTCCGTGATTTTCTGGGGTGAAACAGAACAAACACATTCCTTCAGACTTGTTTTGACTCAAACAGCAAAAAAACTTATGCAATATTTTTTGCATAAGTTGTTCAATAATTACATTTCTGCAAAGCTTTGTCTTTTTCACTGCCTAAATATTTGCTGTTCTGTTTTATCTCGATGTATTGAATGATTTCCAGAAGAACAATCCAGTTTGTGTGGAGCACTAAAGCCGCCAAAATGAAAATAAATACAGAAATAAATGAAAGCCAGTTAAATCTGGCAGCATCGCGGATATAACAATAAAAAACAGACCTGGCAGGAAGTCTGGGAATAAATATGAGGAATAAGCAGAGGAAGAAATAAAAAAGGTACAGCTATAAAGATAAACACAGGCTGAATATTTCCAGATATATAAAATAGTTTTGTAAATTAAAAAAAGAAAAATTGGGAAATAAATTGAGACAATAAATAAGTACAATACAATACATAAAACGGTACAAATTTGAGAAACAAGTTAACCATTTACACAAATTCTAAAACTGTAAATAAAATAATTCATGTAAATATGTGTTTTGTCAGTATTAGTCCTCCATATTTTTGTATTTGATTTATTTTAAAATTTGTAACCTTGTAATTTTTAATAAGTTTATATGTATTAGTCCACCATATACATAGTTTTACGTTACTTTTTATGTTTCTCTAAAGCTTTTAATTTTGTCTGTGTTGGTGCCCCATACATGTAGTACTTCAGTCGTTTGCTACAAGTGTAGCTTTTAATTATGGCAGCACTAGTCCTCTATGCATTTTCTGTGAGTATGTCTCTGAAGTTAATTTTGGCCCTATTGGTTCTCCATACGTTTTGTACTTGATTTTACTATTTACATTTCTCTGTAGCTTTTATTCATAGTATGGATGCTTTAGCCCTCCATACTGTAGTATTTAACGTATTTTCCTGTTATAAATCTTTGCAGCTGTTATTGGTTTTGGTCGTGTTGGTGGTCCGTATCTGTGCTGCTGTTGTGAGGTTGTAGGACCTGTGATAGTTATAAATCAACAGGGAGGGACTCTGAATGTGTTTTTGTCTCCAGACTGTGTGAGATCGAAGGCCGCCTCCAGCAGCTGACCGCCCAGCCGCCCGACCTTCAGCAGAAGAAGAAACAGACAGAAGAAGAAGAAGCGACGACCACTTCCTGCCCTCAGACGACCTCCGTAAGTTACAAACATCCAGACTTCATTTTGAGCAAATGCTCAGCAGATCAGCATCGATTCAGACTCATAGAAAATGTTTTCCTGACAAAGTGCAAAATCTGTTTATTGATTCATTTCTGAATTGAAAACCAATCACAGGAAACAAGAAACACGTTTGATTTCAAAATAAAAGACACTAAGCAGCAGGATAATAAAACGACTTCATAACTTTAAGCTTTGTTCCATGAAAGCAACTTTTTTCATCTGATAATATAATGAACATATTGTCATGTTATAATTTATTCCCTAATAATTTATTCCCTAATAATTTATTCCCTAATAATTTATTCCCTAATAATCTGCCGTAGCTCCTCCCTGCAGCAGCCTGAGTGAAAATGTTTTCTATTTTCTGGTGTTTCTGCAGAAACTCGAGGCCGTCGTAGCCGATCGTTTGATCCAGTCCGAACAGCTGGTGTTCCAAGAGCAGGCACTGAGCGCGCTCCGTGACCTGCTGACCCTCGACCTCCACAGGTACCAGGAAGAGAGCCGCAAACTCACCTGCCTCACTGAGAAGCTCACCGGCCGGTTGCACAGGTAAACCAGCTCTGCTGAGAAACCCCAGGGCCGGCCCAAGGCATGTGCGAGTTGAGCGGCCCCAAAGAGCTCCAAGCTAGCATGATGAAGAAATATATATATTTAAAATAACATGAAATAATACAAACTAAATGCTATCAAACATGGATAAAAACTATTTCTATATTCTTTTTATAGTTGCTACACAAATAATATCAACTTGTTTACTGTAAATTTAGTGTTTAACAGCTGATTTTACTTTCAAACATTTAAAATAAAAACTATGGCATCTTAAACATGACTCTGCATTTCAAAACCCAAATAATTATTTTTAGTTTCTTAATCCTATAAAGCTAAAATCAACAGCTGTAATAGCTCTGGTGTGATGTGAGCTAATTACAAAAGAAGCTAATGCTAGCAAATATAAACATAGAAATGAGAAAGAATGTGATGTTGATGTGTTCGTATGGGGCCCCCAATGAAACCGGCTTCGGGCCCCAGGAAGGCTTGTTCCGGCCCTGGGAATCTGTCTGCTGTGTTGTTGCTGATAGATGAATAATTATTGATCTTTTCCAGGTCAAACGGAGAGAAAACCTTCATCTGTGCAGAGGGTGAAGAAAGTATGCAAGGAAAGAACGAGGCGGAGCCGGAAAAGAACATGGTACAAACATTTCATTTCAAACGCTCAGCAGCAGCTGGTTTCACTGTTAAAGACTAAAAACTAACATTTTCTTTCATTACTGATGCAGAAAACTAAATCTACTGCTGACTTCAGCCACTAGCAGACTGAAGTCAGCGACCCTGACCTCTGACACTCAGGGTTACAATCGCTGCAGTTTTAGTTTCATTTCATTGGGACTTCTTGTCCAATTAAAATAGTTTTAATTAGGTTTTAGAGTGTTTTATTCATTTTCATTAGTTGTTATTAACTAAACATTGTTTAGTTTTCATTAGTTGTCGTAATAGATTTCCAGGTTTCTCAGTTTGAAAACAAATTAGGTTTTAATTCAGCTGCTATTAACATAAATCTGTTGCTCTGTGACTTGATGTAAAACTGTTTTGCTCATTTTGTCTCGATTTTTCTGGCGTTTTTATTTAAACGTGTTTAATCGTTTGACAAGCGAACAGAAATAACTAATAGCTGCTGATGAACGAAGCCGCGCGGTTGAAAACATGGCCGCCTCTTTGTGTTTCTGGTGAGCCTGGCGTCCGTCCAGCTGTTGTCAGTCTTCCTCAGACAGTCGGAGGAGAGACGGAGGAAACATCTGCCCGCTCATCTGGCTCTGTCTGTCACACACACACGCTCAAACACACACGTAAAAATCAACAAAAAGCATCCCATAATAACCTGACAGAGTTGTGACGGGAAATGATGAGGGAAGAAACCTGGTTTGGAGTCTTATTATAACAGGAAAGCTGTCAAGGTGTCACCACAGTTTAACTCTGAGAGCTTAAACACAAACAGCTGACAGGCCGGCTGCCAGCGCAGCAACAAACTGGGATTCCTGCCGAAAAGACGCTTCTGCCGCTCAATGTTTCATATCACGCTCCCAAAAGTCAAATCCTGATGTGTTGGAAACATCTGCACAATGTGAAGCAACACCAAACTCTACGGGGCAAAAGTTTGGTCAAGAAAAGCAAAGTTTTCTAATATTTCCCTTCAAAAAAAAAAAAAACCTTAAAGGTGCAAAACTCAAGTTGTGCAACTTCAGTGAAACGATAAACAGGTGGCAGAAAAACAAAACAAAAACAAAACGCTTTGGAAACGTTGGAGTCACTTTGTCCCAAAACCTTTATGAGAAATGTATGGAAGCTCACTTCTGCCATGAAAGGAAAAAAATACAGTTTGAAAATCATGATCACAAATTTTAAAGTCAAAATTACAAACTTAGAATGAGAAATGTAGGTTTTAAAATCATATTTATGAGTTTATAGTCATAATTGTTCATTTTGCAGCGATAAATATGATAATGTCATTTACTTATCTGAGTTTTAAAATCATAATTACAAGTCGTTATTGTGAGAATAAATGCCATGATTACATGTTACAAGCTACTATCACTGCAGTTTCTGTAAAGGGCCTTCACTTTTTCTTTCTTGGCAGAAATGTGCTTCCGTACCTTTAAGAACAGATTTGTAAGAAAATAGTGGTGGACAATTGCTCAATGATGGGCAGTTAATAGAGGAGCCATGTTGTGATGACTTCCTGTTTCAGAAATAGCAGGAGCTTCTTAAAGAGACAGAGGCCCAATTTCAAGGTGTTGATTATTATATAAGTCATACATTTATTTTGAGTCACATTTCATATTTATATCAAAACAACTAAAGGTAACATAATTACCTACTTGTTCCTTGGAAACACTTCAAAAAGTGGATAAAAGACTTGAAACATTAAAATATGGTGGAAAATAAAAAAACAAACGTATTTATATCAAATGTTCATCAAAATTCAGAGACTGCTGTCATGAAATCATGTGAAGTCAGTTGCTGTGTGGATTCAGAGGGAATTGGGTCACATCCTGTTAAAAACTGGGTTCACATGCTGACAGATGTCAGATTTTACCCCTCAAATTATATATTCACAAACCAAAGAGTTTACCGAGCAGCCCTCTGCTCCCCCTCTGTGACCTCTGACCCTCTTTATCAGATCATTCAGTTACTCTGGATAATCACATCATTTTGATTACGTGTTAATCTAATGGGTTTAGGCTGGATTGAATTAAAAACGGCTTGGTGGAAACGATGATCCGTCCAGGATGGAGAAACATGGTGGAGATCAGTGGGCTGCTGTTTCTGCTTCAGGCACTTTTTAGGTCTAAACTTCAATTTTACACCTAAAATGAGTCAATTTTAAGTCTGAGAAATTAAATATTGCTCAGTAGGTTTCATCATTTCTTCAGTTTCAGTGTTATTTGTAAAAAAGATAAATAAGACAAATAAATATTACAGTAAAATTAAGAAAAACATATTTCAGGCTTGAATGAGTTGAAGTTGTTTCCAAAGAATCTGATCAAACTACAACTTAAAATTAAAGTCAGATGTTTTTGTCTGATCTGTTGAAAAATGAGACAAACATTTGAACAAATTTTAACTATTTACAGCCTTCTGAATAATTAATGATCTTTAATGACTGAACAGCTGCTTGCTTGTTTCCCCATTTTGATGTTGAATCTTCCAGAGGTATGAATAATTGTGAGCTTAAACGTGAATAATCTGAGTGGGAAAAAAAATCACAGAAGCTCAGAAAAAACATTGAGAGCTTTTAAACAAACTAATTAATGAAAAGAATATAAAAAAAGGAATGACATTTATTTTTTGTTTTCATAAAGTCAATAAATGTAATATTTGATCAATCAGATCTTTATTACCACATAAATTCTCCTTTATGATGCTGAATGACGGCTGAGATCCTCATCCTCTACACTTTCATCCTGAAGAGAAGCCCAGCATGCCAGACGTTTCCCAGAATGCACCTCTGCTGTGTATGTGGGTCAGATGGTCCTCTGTTTATTGCCATATGTTTGTTACTGTAGTGAGGCTGCAGGGAATAGAGGTCTGAAATAAGAGCGCCAGGAGGATGTTTGTGTTTTTATTGAAAGATGCAGTTTGTCTCTCATCCAGACACGTTCTAATGATCAATTTTAGCTCATTTTATGTTCTGTCAGCATAACTCAGGTTATTATTTTCTTATCTGTTTACTCATAATTAGTTATTTTTTGGTGCTTTCAGTGCATGATTTCTTTTTATTTAGTCAATTTCCTTTTTCTTTTCTGTGCTTTATATTAGCTATTCAGCTAGCCTTAAATTTTATAACAGTTGATTGCTTTACATAGAAGCTACTGAATCTATTTCTAAAGCAAAATTTGATTAGTATGTTAACATTTTTGTCCTTTGACAGCTTATTTAATTAGTTTTTGTCTAATTTTAAATCAAACTAGCTTTAAAAAGCTAATCCATTTAGCTATCTTGCTAATTGCACTAGGGATTGAGTACTATTATGTTCTTTCTTGTTTTGGAAAGTAATCGTTTCTAGTTTTCTTTTAGAAATATACCAAGGTGTTGATTTAAATTATTTTTATTTAATAAGTGTCTGTTTTCATCCAGTACCAACTAAGCTAGCTAAAAAGATACACGTCAAGATTAGAGCATCCCTTATTCCATTGCTTTAAAATCCAAATAATGCTTTGAAATTTTGCAGTTGCACTGTGTCCATTAAATAATAAAAATTAAAGTCACACGTGAATAAGTTTTTTCATGCGATAAGCCCTTAAAAAACATAATCAACCTACTACTTCCTGTCGTCTTCTTCATGGTTTCCACCAGTAGTAACATCTGGTTGTTGATCATGCAATAAAATGTTTCCATTTTGGTTTTGTGAGATAAATCAATTTTGATACGGATAAAAAATAGAAAACATCATCCTTGTGTCAAAACTTTTTTGAAAATTGACATTCTGATTAAGTGAATTTATGTGGAATTATATGGCGAATGTAAATGGCAATAGTGAAAAGTGAATCAAAATGTTGCAGATTTCTGGTGGTCCTTTATATTCTGTTTATAATTTCACTTGGCTTCCACTCATAACGTAGCGCAGAAGCTGCTTGTTGCTGAGGAGAGACAACAAGCAGCTTCTGCCTGGTTCTGACACTGCAGCGCTCAGGAAGCCTGAACTCACAGGGCAAAAATAATAACTTTAAAAGTCATCGGCTTGGAGCTAATCCCACCGCGGCCTGTGGACATTTTAATACCGGAGTGATTAGCAGTGATCCTAAAGCCCGGCCAGCCAGCGCTGTCAGGCCCGGGCGGCCGGCCCGCCCCAGCCTGGGCTCTCCGTCCCTGGGGGAGGCGGTCAGGCGAGTCCCCGGATTAAGGCCACTCTGGAAAGTTAAACCCCTGGACGTCCGCCACTTCATTTCTCTAAGTGGCATCAGTTCCCTCGTTATGACTGTTAATTAAAGTTGGATTTATTCAACAGGATTTCTTTACTTTTCTAAAAAAAGACATTTTCTATTTTTTGTCATCTTTCTGTTTTATTAAGTGGATTTTTTTCATGGCGTGTCTGGGTTGTTTATCTGTTTTTATTTGTGTGAGAAAGTGGGAAGCTGTGTTTGGGGGAGGGCTGGGAATTTTTTCATATGAGTGAGCAGATGTTGCAGTTTCTCAGGAGGGATTTATGTCAGGATGGGAACACACAACACTCTGGGCTGCGTGTCATAATGAATGCATTTATCAGTCAACATCTACACGCTCTGAACGCGCGCAGAGAAAAAACCTTTTATTAACACCGAATAAACATCCAGGCATATAGCAGGGATAGAACAGGACATTATGTTTGTATTATTTATCATTCCTGGTTTTTACTAACATTTAGATATCTGGAGACATGAAAGGCAGATCTTCAGAAAATTATTAGAAAAAACTAACCTGCGTGAGGACAGAGAGATTTAAATTATTAAATATGGCAGAGTATTTTGGACAAACTAAGAAACAATCATTTAATTACAAAAATAAGTCGTATTACGAGACTAAAATTGGTGTAATATGAGAATAAAGTTGTAATAATATGAGAATGAAGTCATAATGTTAAGAGAATAAAGTAAAAATTAGCAATTAAGTGGGAATAAAAGAGTAATCATGTTACCAGAATCAAGTTGCACCATACGACTGAAGGTGATGCAGTTTTCACATGGGGGATTTCAGACATTCACTGCTGCAGCTGAATGTCTGAAAATGTAAAATGTTAAATATTTAGGATTTTTAATTGATGATCCTTCGTCTTTCAATTTCCGCATTCAACCGCTGGTGAAGAAGCTGAGATCAGAAGGTGATTGTTGGATGCCACGTTTATCTATTCTGGACTGCAGTGAAGTTTTAAATCCTCGTTCTTCGACTAAACGTCTTTACTCACTGGTTTACTGTTGATTCGTCAGCAGGTTGAGATTTTGAAACCTGAGACATATATTTCAGTTCTGCTCTTTCTGATGGATAATATTCAGCAGATGTGTGTATTTACAGAATGGGTTAGTGGCTCCGGAGCAGAGTCCTGTCTAACAGCTGCTTGGGGGGATTTGTTGCTGTGTTTTCCTCTTTCAGCATCGCCCAGTCAGTTCCCAGATTCCCAGTAACGAGGGATCACATGGCGGCCATGTTGGTTCCAACCTGCGGCGAGCCGACAGCGTCAAAGACCTGCTGAGTCGATTCTCCGGTCCGACTCCATACTTGTTTTCATCTCAGAGCGCTTTCTCCGGACACAGACGAGTCCTCAGGTCGGTTTCCATGGAGTCGCTGAACTCTTCCAAGTCCAAGCTGAGCGTTTTCACGCCGAGTGCCATCGAAGTGGCCGGGACTTCGACTCCCACTGTCACGGTGACTCCATCCAAAGATGCCGAACAGAACGAGGTGGAGTCGACTAAGAAGGAAGTCAAATCCACGAAAATAACCGCCAGGATTGAGTGTCCAGTAGAGGGCAGCACTCAGAAGACAGATTCAGAAACGACGAGCAAACCGAAAACTCTGAAATCTGGTAGAGATTCGGTGGCCGACTCTGGCTTGGGTTCGGTAAGAGACGGAGGATCAAATCTGATCCAGACGAGCCGCATCCATCCGGGGAACTTTGCACCTTTTCTGGACGCTTCATCACACATCGATTTGCATGATTATTGATCCCACTTAAAGGCACAGCACCACTTCAAACCTTTAGAGTACATCATCATTTAATCGTCGACCGAACCTCTTTCTCATCGTTGATTTTTTTCCCTACAATGTCTTGAAAAAAACACTTCTACCTCTTTAACGCTCAGATTTTGTCTTGGTACAGCCACAAACTTTGATGTATTTAGAAATTAAATTGACATATCCACACAAACGAAACTGGGATTAAAATGATGCATGTTTCAGAAATATTTACATAAAATTAAACTGTGGAATGAATTTGTTGCAAGTTTAATTTAGACACAAAGCTCTTTAGACTTTTACGTGTGAGTAAATAACATGCATCATTTTCTCTCCATGTTGATTCATTACAGAAAACCCTAATAAAATTTACTCAAGGTTGTGGTTGAGATATTTCTACAAGGCACCAAATTTTCCTTTTTATGTCAATAATGACTTGATTTTATTTCACAAAACAATTGAATTTTGCTTGTTTCTGTTTGCTTTCTGAACTTTTTCCCAGCGTTTCCACAAAGTGTGATGATGTAAGGTTGGAAAAACTATATGACCTGAAATCAGTCCTGAACCTGAAAAAAAATTCTTTAGGTCATTTTTACAAAATGATGCCTCAGCAGAGACCTGCAGGTTCTTACAGTGTTGAAAAACGAGGAATTTACTTTTCATTTCTGAGTCTGGATAAGAAAATAAATTAGAGAAGAACAAATGAAGTGGTAAACAGGAAGGCTGGGGAGTGTTTTGTCCATGATTGCATTTTCTTCTTTGCTTTGATTTGAGAAAAGGTGCAAATAATGACAATAGTTTTATTCCCTACAAAGGAAAACAAGGGGAATGTTTTCCACTGTTTTGGGTTTAAGTGCAAACTCCCCTGCAGTTGCCAGTATTTCTTGCTTCCCCTCCACTGCTGCCTCTGCTTCACATGATGACTGATTTGAAAGGCTCAAAATGGTGGCCATCTTGAAAAATTGCTGAAATTCAAGCGGCTAATGGGAAATATTGACCTGACCTTATGGGTGAACATGCCACTATGTATGCTGGTATGAAAGGTTTCTAGAGTGACATGCTGGACTAAAAGTTAACTCTTTAAACTTTCCAAATCTTGCTTTTGCTGATCCGTTGCTTCTCTTTGGAATGAAAACACCTTAAATCTTTTGATTTACTCCTCCATCTCATCTCCACCTTTCCTCTGAATCCTTTGCCTCCATCCTTCAGGAGTCAGAAGTGGATTCAAGCAAGCAGTCTGACAGCCCGTCTGAGGAGGAGCCGACCACGCCCAGAGCCACCATAGTCACCCAGAATCCCAAGTACCAGCTTCTGATGAACCACGATCTGAAGACCAACGGGCTGAGCACCAGGGAGGCCAACGGGCCGGGCGGCACCGTGTCGGTCGGGGAAAGAAGCCCCCTGCTCTCCAGATGGGAGACCAACCGGTCAGGGACGAACAACTTCCGCGGGTCCCTGGAGTCCCTGGCCTCTCGGGACTGGGACACAGGATCTGACAGGGTGAGTGAGGAAGACCAGAGTGTGTGTGTGTGTGTGTGTGTGTGTGTGTGTGTGTGTGTGTGTGTGTGTGTGTGTGTGTGTGTGTGTGTGTGTGTGTGTGGGTGAGAAGGATTTTGGTAGATTAAGTTTGGGCCAAATAGGAAGCAGATGCTGAGGATAACAGTCATTCTAGAGTTAACAGCGCCATCACATGGAGGAAACGGGAACTGATTTAATTCCTGCGCAGAAATCCGAAGGTCTTCTTGAATTTAAGTCAAAAAGACGTGAAGTTGATTTATTCTGGGTAAAAAAAGACTTAAACTTCAAGCTTCATAAATAGTTCAATACTCCAAAGTATAAAAAATAGTAAAAGATTTAGATTTAGAGTACTTAACATTTATCTTTAAAGGAATTTATTAACCTCAAATATGTAGAAAAGAACTTAAGGGAAATAAAATGAAAAATGTTAAAATATTCCAAAAATTTTAAAAACAAATTTATTGTTTAAAAAAAAAACACAAAAAAAACAGATTAAGCATTAGTTCAGGCCTCAAATACTAAAAATATCAAAAATAACATTTATATACCTGCTATTTATCTTTAAAGGAATTTATTTACTTTAAATATCTAGAAAACAATTCAAGTCAATAATAAAATAAAAAATGAAAAAATATTCAGTTCAAAAATTTTTTTTTGATATTTTCAAAAGTGAAGATTAAAAGATACTTAAAGCATTAGTTGATCCTAAAAAATGTACAATGTCATTTATTTAATCTTCTAAATATTTTTTAACTAAAGTTGAGATTTAGAGACTTACTTTAAAGCAACTTTGTTTCCTCACATATTTAGAAAACCATCGAAAGTAGATTAATAGACAAAAGTTTTAAAATTCAAAATGGTGAAAAGTTTAATAAATGTTTAAAATTTTAAATATTTAAAAAGAATATAATTAAGATTCTAACTAAATATTTTAATGTAGAAAAAACTATGATGTACATTTTTGAAGTTTAAAGGTATTTAAAAGAATTATGAAAAATTTAATCTATTTAATGTCTTTTGCCAAACAAATTTCTAAACTTATTACAGAATATTTTTGGTAGGTGCTTTTGCTGATATTTAGATAAATTGGTAAAAAGTACATAAATAAATAATAAAAAGGAATAATTTTTATTTAGGTTGGAACAATATTGTATATAATCAGATTAATTAACTGATTTATCTCCAAACCTTCCAGCAGTAACTTGTCTGTTGCAGAATGAGTCCAATCTAATCTTTTCTTTCCAGTTTTTGCACAGCGCCACCTTCTGGAAGAAACACAGATTGAAGGTTTTTCGCTCCGTCAGCTGACTCACAGTTTCCAATCAAAGCACAGAAACTCGGCTTCAATTAATGTTTTTATTTTACAAAAATCACACTAGATCTACTGTGACGGAGTACTGGAGACAGACTGAGGATTTCCTTTTAATTACAAAGATAAAGTTACAATATTAGCAGAAGAAAGTCGGAACATTATGAGAAAAAGTTGTGAATAGTAATCCAAGGATTCTTTCTGTTGATAATTTGATGTTGATGTGTTAAAAGATGAAGAGTTTCCTGTTTATAAAACAGATACCAATTACAAGATGCACAACATTCCTCATATTAAGGCAGCAGTAGGACAGATTCTTTATGACAATTTTATTCTCATATTATGACTTTATTTTGGTATTTTCATGGCTATTCTTGTAATATGATGTCTGTAGTCGACCATTACAAATTTATTAGTGTATTATTACAACTTCACTTAATATTATGACTTTATGCTGTAATTATAACTTTATTTGCAAATTCTTTATTTTTTATATGTTTATGACTTTTTCTTATAATGATTTATTTTTTAATCATAAAATGTTGGTATATTCACAATATTTTCTGGTATTACTTATGTAATATTTTAACTTGATTCTTGTAACTTCTCAGTCCGGCTCTAATACTCCGTCTCCATGTTAATGTGTCACGCAGCAGAAATGAAACAATAATTCACAGCTGATGTCACGTTTTTCCTGTTGAAGTAATAACTGCCTTCATCAGACCTTTGCATTTGTTTGCATAGAAGAATTTTTGTCTGTTTTTATTTGCTGGGAGTAAACAGCTGTTGTGTGTTTGCAGACGGGCGTTGTCGACAGCCCTCCCCGCGTCTTCAACAGTCCGTACGCCACGACCACGTCCATGGATTACACCCCAGCCTACCGGATGTCCGAGTACAAGGTGTGTGTCTGGTTTCTGTGTGAAGTGGAGAGTGGGGAGCTTTAGCGGATGAAGTTGCGTTTGTCTCCAGGTTCAGGGCAGACTCTCTCCCGCCACCTCAGAGATGAGCCTGTACGGCTTCAACAGCCGCAGCACCAGCCCCATCGGCGTGCCCTCGCCCACGCTGACCGCCCAGCGCACACGATTCTCCACCTACGACACCCTGAGGAGAAGGCCCGAGATGACCAACACGGTACAAAACCCGCGCCTGTCTCTTTAAGGAAGCCATCGCAAAAACAACGTTTAAAGTTTGTTCAGATTTTAGGGTTAAAAAAGTGAATTTTAATGTGTTCATATCTGACCAGCAGGTGGCGCCTGTTCACTACAGCATTCGCTCCGCCACATTGGGAGCGCCGAATAAGAAAGACTTCATAGAAGAACTGACCAAACAACTGGACGGCTGTCAGAAGGTAAAATAAATCTCAGATTAATAAGATACCAATCTGGCTCTACAGATGCATCTGGATAAATTCAAATAATACCAAAGAGATTATTTTATTTAGGAGAGTAAGCCATAAAGATCAGTATTCAAGATACTGGATACTCTGAGTGCTTTATCCAAACAAATATTGATGGAAAGTTGAGTGGAAGGAAGAAAAGGTTTGTAGGGAGAACTGGACTTGCTGCAGTTGTAACATTTGCCTTGTACAAATAAACTGAACTGAAATGTTCAGTTTAGACTAAATTTGGCATAAAAGTTAAAGATTTAAAGACATTTTGTTTGGTTTTATCTCGGAGCTCCATGAGGTTCTGATTGCTGTAACTTTAACCAATAATACCAGAGATTAGAAGTATTCAATATAAAAACTGGATTGTTAGTTATTATGTGACTGATTATTCAACAGTATTTCTCATGTTTTGTGTTTTCTTCAGCGCAACGCGTTCCTGGAAGCAGAGAGCGTTGAGATGGAGAAAGAGAGGAACCAGATCAGGTCAGAGCCGACGAGCCGCATCATCACAGATCATTTCAACTATTTATGCTTAATCCTGATTAATCTGATAGATTAAATAATGCAGGTTAACCTGAGGAGAGTTATGGGATGGATGGAAACAAATGTAAAGCCCGAACCACCTAGCTTAAAAAAAGTTAGTTACAGAATGCAGCTAACGCTAACCTTGAATAGGTTGGCAAAAAAAGTGATTCAGTAGCGAAATCATCCAGCCTAATGGAAGTAAACTTTCACTGACCACAAAAAATTAACAAAAAAAGCAAGATAGAAACCATACAGAGGTATATTAGCAGCTAGCAGTTAGCTGTAGCCTCAACCATCTCAAGTCACAGAACGCAGTGAGTTAAATTTTTGCCTGACAGAAGAGAAAAAATAAATACATAGAATATTTGCAGTTATTTAGTTAGACTACAACAAAAACTAACCCTGTGATTAATGTTCTTAAGTAGATTTTTTAAAGAACTTAAGACAGTTTAAGGCTTTACTTTTAAGTGAGGCGGGAATAACTCAATGACTGTAGTCCAATGAACACACTTTATAAATCCTTAGCCAGAAACAGAAATTGTGTAAATTGTTTGTTTGTGTTTGATTTGCTGCTTCGACCATGTGAGGTGTAAATCTCATCGGTAACGGTCCGGTTGTTCTGTGAAGGTTCGATATGCGCGCCCTGCTGGTGAACAACGAGGACCTGCTGAGGACCAACACCCAGCTGAACAACGAGCTGAAGAGAATCAGAGAGCAGATGATCGAGATGGACAAGGAGAGCCAGGGCCTCCGGGAGAAATGCCGAGAGATGGAGGTGAGACGGAGATTAGCATGCTAATCCCTCTGGTCGGATGATTTTCATACTCAACTCAGGATGAGTTTCAACATGGCTGCCATTTTGTGCCTTTTAAGCCACTTATTGCCAGAAATGTTCCTCATTTTAGTGGATGATTTTAGTGCCACATCACGTTTTCAACCATTCATACAACTTGAAATAATATGGAGCAAAATGAGACACCAAACTGAAACTGAACACTTTGGTGTTTACAAATCTGACACTGAAATAAGACCAAAGTCTCAGACCTTTTGTCTTTGTTTGGCTTCAGTCTGTGTGACGTTTGTTGTTTGTTTTGCAGATTGAGGTGAAGGAAACCCGGGAAATGATGGTGGAGGCCAACAACCAGGAGTACGCCTTCAACTTCCTCCAGCAGTCCCTGAAGAACAAGATCCAGGATGCTGAGGTAGAACCAGACGACCTGCTGTGAATCTCTCACCCAAACAAACTGCATAGACATAATATAGACGTCTGAGAAGTTTTATTACACCTTCTCTGTTATTATGGAACATAAACTACCACCATTACTTCTTACGAGTCGGCCATGTTTGTTTGTTTGCTGCTGTTTGGCGTTCAGGACAACCTGGAGAAGCAGACCCAACACGCCCAGTCTCTGGCCGAGAAGCTGTGGCTGGCAGAGAGGCAGCTGGATGAGCTGGAGTTGGACAAAGAGACCCGACAAGAAGACGTCTGAGCTCAACAGCACCATCCTCAGGCTGGAGGAGGAGGTGCAGAAATGATTAATCTGCTGGTTTCTGGCTGTAAGAGGCGCCGCTAATGGCTGCTTCTGTTTCCAGCTCAGCGAGGCGCTGCAGTCGTCCACCCAGAACTCAGCAGAACTGAGCCTCCACCTGAAGCTGCGTGAAGACGCCCAGATGAGGGTGGAGGAGCTGGAGGAGGTGCTGCTGGAGAAGGACCAGGAGATGAAGCTGCAGCTGCTGGTCAGCAAGCTGCAGGGAGAGGTACGCAGCTGCAGCACACATGAAGCAGGCGTTCAGCTGCTGCTGCTGCTTCAGGTTCTGGTTCTGTCGGGTCCAGGTGTCCGGGAAGCTGATCGATAAGGAGCGCAGCCTGGAGGAGGAGATCCAGCTGCGGGAGCGGCTGCAGCTGCAGTGCAAGCAGGCCGAGCGCACGGTGGACGACCTGACCATGGAGCTGCACAGCACCAACCAGGCCAAGGACGACCTGGCCAAGCAGCTCAAGGTGGCCCAGGTACTGCCTGAGCAAAAAAGCAAACTCAAAAACCTGGAGGGAAAAACTCACAGGATCCCGGAGGATCCCAGAGGATCCCAGAGGATCCCAGAGGATCCTGGTCAAAAACAGTGAAAAAAAGTTAAAAAAAAAGAGAAATATTTGCAAAAAATAGGCCTGCAAAAATGGTCGAATTCTGCAATTTTTTAAAAATTTATTTTACAACTTAAACATTTTTAGACAATATTAGAAATACAGAAAACAAACAGAAAACTATAAAAATCCTTTTAAAATACAATATTATTTAAACATTTTATTGCATTTCTTTAGTGAATTATTGATCATTTAAAGCAAAAGATTTGTGCTTTACTTAATATCAATAACATGATTGACTGATTATTTGTGAAGCAATTAATAATTTGACATTTTTCACTGAAGTTAAACCAGGTGAAGCTAAAACAATTTTTTATCCAAAATGATCATTTTTGTTCTGAATGTTTTATTTTATCAAGTGGCCAATTACTAAACTAGCAGAGGATTATTTAAATTATTTTATTAAACTCTTTATGAAACTACAAATAGAATAAAAACAATGACAGATTAAACTTTTATTTTTGCACCATATTGATCACAGGAAGCTGCGTAGTGAGAAATGCTGCCACCTGCTGGTGGGAGCTGGAATGTCAATGTTTGACAGTTTTTTTTTTAGAAAATTGGCTCAAAGACTTATTAACGCAAATAATAATAGCAATAGTAACAATAATAAAGAAAAGCATGGATTTGTTGATTTTATGTGACGTTTTGCTATCAGAATTGTAAAACAGTGCAGTGATTGTTTCTGCTGAAATATTTCCGTCTTTATTAAACTCAGGTTAAGTAGGTCAGTTTCTACTCTGGGTTTATTTTAAAGAAATGAGCAATAAGTTTCTTTTTAAGCACTAAAACAAATATCTTTTTTCGTTTCTAAATGTTTTTCTGTGAAACAGAAACGTCCACATGAATTAACCAGACATCCAGCCACCAGTTTGGGGTTAATGAGGCATTAATTATGCTAATCCTGTTCAGCCGTAAACGCTCTAAAACGAGCGGCCATGATGAAACGCGACCCGTTTGTTTTTCTGGTGAACAGGAGAAGCTGATCGATGTGGAAACGGACCTGGAGGATCTGCTGGAGAGCGAGCAGCGCTGGGCCGCCAAGCACAAGAAGACCATCGAGCAGGTAGGGCGCCACCTGCAGGCAGAGCGCCACCTGCAGGCGGAGCGTCACCTGCAGGCGGAGCGCCACCTGCAGGCAGAGCACCACCTGCAGGCGGAGCGCCACTTGCAGGCAGAGCGCCATCTGCAAGCGGAGCGTCACCTGCAGGCGGAGCGCCACTTGCAGGCGGAGCGCCATCTGCAGGCGGAGCACCGCCGCTGAGCCTTCACCGGACCGGCGCCGATACTTTCTGCTGTGTTTCAGACGGAGCAGCTGCAGATGAAGCTGATTCAGGAGAAAGATCTGAACGACCAGCTGGAAACGGATAAGACCTTCATGGAGAGACAGGTGACCTTTAACCTTTGACCTCATGTCATTTAAAATATTAATTTCATCAGTTAATCAGTACGTCAGTTTTACTCTTACTTTAGTTTGAATACTTTTACTAAAGTTTGGGTGTTTTACCTGAGCTGTTAACGACGGCGCAGCTAGCATCTTCACCACTAGCATCTTCACCGCTAACATCTTCACCGCTAGCATCTTCACCACTAGCATCTTCACCGCTAACATCTTCACTGCTAGCATCTTCACTGCTAGCATCTTCACCACTAGCATCTTCACCGCTAACATCTTCACCACTAGCATCTTCACCGCTAACATCTTCACCACTAGCATCTTCACCGCTAACATCTTCACCGCTAGCATCTTCACCACTAGCATCTTCACCGCTAACATCTTCACCGCTAGCATCTTCACCACTAGCATCTTCACCGCTAACATCTTCACCGCTAGCATCTTCACACCGCTAGCGTTTCCCTGCTAAAAATGGCGCCTGATTTTTCTGTGTGTCCAGATCAGGGAGCTGCGTATGGAAGTGGAGGAGCTGCACAGCTCCAGGGTCCAGGAGGACGTGGTGTCCCGGGCCGAGAGCCGGGCCAAGGAGCTGGAGAGCGCGCTGAGGGCCGAGGAGAGGTGAGCCGCGCTCCGTCGCTCCATTTCTGTCTCGTCCAGATTCTTCGTCCTTCTCTGAGTGTTGATCTCAAGGTTGTACTTTCCCACTCTGGGTTTTTTTTTGTTTTTTTAAACTTTTTTTGGTGTTTTTATAGAAACAAGGCGACTCTGACAAACTCCATCAATAAACTGGAGAGGAAGATCAACGAGCTGAACGACCAGCTGGAGGAGGAAACCCGCATCGCTAACGAGCAGAAAGAACTGGTAATGCACACTGCAGCCTCCCTCCACCGGGGGGCAGCAGAGGCACATGGAAACATGAAAACTACAATGAGAAACGTTCCCACATTGCGATGATTAAACAATATAATAATTTACATTATTTAAATCTGACAGAGCAGGTTAACGATAGCAACATGCTAATTCCCTGATGTGTCTGGTTGTCAGATGACACAGAGGATGCGCACGCTGAAGCGGCAGCTGAACGAGGCGGAGGAGGAGGCGACCAGGAAGGAGGCGCAGTACCGCCACCTGCAGAGAGAGCTGACGGAGGAGAGGGAGACGAGCAGCCGGCTGCAGCGCCAGCTGCTGGACCAGCACCTGCAGACCAAGTAGGAACCGCAGCCTGCAGGCCAAACCCAGAAAATAAAACACTCAAAGACGACGCGCTGAATTAGCATGTTTTGGTTCTTCCATTTGGGCAATAATTCCAAGTTTTTTGTTTCTGGAAAACGAGTCACTTCAAAATGAAACTTTTCCACTTCTTGCTAGCTCTGCTAGCCAGCTTGATGAATTTGACTGGAAACCAATGAGAAAACAACTTCTATTTTATATTGTTTAACATAAAACAAAGATTTTGATGAAAAATGTAAGATTTAAAAATGTCCGTCTTTCTGTGCTGCCATGATGTTTCGTTTTCCAACAGAAGTGAAGGATTAACGAAAGTTTTCTGTGTCTGACAGACGTAAAGACAACCTGACGATCCGTCAGACTCTGGACAGCCTGAGGTTGGACCTCAGCGGAGACGAAGATGACGACGAAGAGGCGGAGAAGCCGCCGAGTGAACCACCAACCAGCGTGACTAAAGTTTAACCTCTCCAGCGCCACCTTCCTGTGGAGAAATGGATTCATTTGCAGGAAACCAGCAGATCTGCTGCAGCAGAAACACAGAAATGACTTTTGGCTGCTTGGAAATAATCTCATGTTTCCAGGAAAATTCTTCACTTTAAACCAGCTGAGAAATTCAATGAGATGAAATCTGGTGCTCGGTTGTAGAAACACTTTGCTTTCGGGTTGTTCCTGCCATGAAAACACAAGCAGGTTCAAATCAGGACTCTCTTTTCCTCTTTTCATGTTTTTAAGAAGTTAAATTCCCTCGGCGCCCTCTGCTGGTGGACACCATGAACTACAACCGCTTCATTTTGCACTCAGCTGCTCTTTGCTTTCAAAATGTTTATAGATGTGATCTAGAAGAAAACTTTGAGGAAAATGTTTAAGTTTCTCCTAATAGAAAATATAGAATAAGCTCTGAGAAGAAAACTGTCTGAAACGCCTCGGTTTTTATTTTCTGTACAGAAACTCGTTTATCTGCAGTATTTTACTTTAAGATGCTTCGACGGGTCGTGAAAGTGTCTGTGGGATCTTTGATTCGTGTCTCTTTCATCTCAATCGCAGCAAAGATTATTTATATGTTTCGAAGTCTTCCTGGGAGATCTTAACAGTTCATTTTGTTTTGCATATTTAAAGGGTTGCTGCTGTTTTAATGTAACTCTGCCATTCGTGTACAGAAGTTGTTTGAACTTTATCGGGTGAGGAAACCGTTCACCTTCTGTGGTTTGCAACAAAAGGAAATCAGAAATATAACCTTTAGTCCATAAGCCGGTGGATTTGTGTGTTTACAATGTTTCTCATTTTAAAATAAAAGCACAAGCTTCAGGTGTAAATCTGAACGACACATTTAGTTTTCTCTCATATTGGGTATTTATTTTACCCTTCGGTACAAAATAAACTTTAACTTTGACGAATGGAGTTTGACCTGTTCTTCCACAAACTGTGAATAAGTGGAACTGGGCCAATATATTTGATTTTTATCAAAGCTACAAAACGTAATAAATAATTAACTTGCTAATTAACCTAGTTAATATATTTAAGTTTTATTTGTATAAATGTTAGATTCGTGTGGAGCCAAAGAGTCTCAGAGGAAACCAACAGACTCCAGTCCAAACTTTCCTCCATTTCTCCTTCAGAAAATGAACAAAAACTGATTTTCTACTTTAAAACGAATCTCTGTAAAGAAAAAACTAATAAAATAAACCAGTAACAGTTCTGAGGATAAAACCAACCGATTTATTTCAGCTCTGGCACCAGAAACACAAAGCATCTCATGTCGTTCTCATTGTGTCAAACATGCTCAACATACAGGCATCGATACTCACAGCGATAACGCAACAAACGAGTTTAAACTGCAGGCATCAGAGAAACTCACAGAGACGTTTCCAAAAATAAAACCCACTTCAGGGACTTCTGACCCGCTAAATTCACATTCAGCAGCCGACAAAAACCTCAGATCCAACAGGCACAACATGAAGATCAAGATGATGCTGGACAGACGCGTTGAGAAGTAACACAAACAACAAACTCAAACATAAAGCATTAAGCTAACGCTAGCTTTAAAAAATAAACGACAACTAACCGCATGGAAGATTGTCATGATGACAAAACATTGATGTCAGAACTGATCATGCAAGGAAACAAACATATATGTAATTATTTATGGAGCTTTAAAATGATTTAATGTTTAATGAAATATAACAGAGTTAATCCAGACTTGTTCAGTTTGGAGCTCATTTCTGAATGACTGAAATAATTCTGTATTTTCATTATTAATATGCAGATTAGTGTCCATTTCTCCAACACAGGTCAGACAAACCATTCTTGGCACATGAGGTATTCCATAAAATTAGGTTTTTTTTTTTTTTTTTTTTTTTTTTTTTTGCAATCTTCCATTCACAGCTAATTGTTAAAAACAATAAAACAAGCATAAGTTTTAGAAAGTGTAGTAAATAAGTCAACAATGAAGCACAATGGTGGTAAAATGATGATATGAATAAATTTATAAGAAGGACATGTTAGTAATTTAAAACAAGAAAAAAAATTATGTTTGATTTTTGGGTGAAAATCAACACAAAGCAACTTAATCCATCTGTTTTAAAAAGTGAGATTGAACCCAAAAATCATCCAAAATCTGCAAATTCTACTGGCAGTTTGGGTCAATAAATTAAATGCAGATACAAAACATTGTTATAATGTGCACAATAATATTTTGTTATGTCAAAACACAAAACATCAAACAATGCCTAGTATGATAAGTTTTCTTTGAGTTTCTGTTTCAAAAAAAATAAAGAAACATGACAAGAGGCTAAACCATGCTAACGTTCTGTCATGTTTTTGGATAAACTAATAAGCTAGCTCAGGTAAGTTGAATTCACTTTTAGTAAATTATTGTTTTCTGTGATGATACAGAAACTAGAAAGATATTAAACAAAAAAATAGACACATACAAAAAAATAAAAATACCACAACTGATTTCTTCCATTTCTTCAAAAACCTTGAGTCACTGCTGTTAGCATCCTGCTAGCAGATATGAAGGCTACCAGCTTAGCAACAATGCTTCATTAGTAAATAAATACTGTAGAATGATTTTGTTTGCTGTCAAATAATATTTATTGTTGTTAATTAAAGCAATCCGGGTCAGTTGTTCCTCTGGAAATTCATTCAACCATTAGCTAGAAATGCATCACCATGTAGCTGCTAGCAAAGCCATTTAACTAAACGATGAACTTATGTTTTTAACTATTTTTTTAAATTAATAACCCGTCATAAAAATCTGTCAGTGCAGAACAACCCGGCGTCTACAGGACAGTTTGTACTTGAGAAAGTCGGATATGAAAAAAACAAAAATGCAAAATGGCAGACAAAAACAAACGACAGGCTAACTGAGCATTTATTATTTTGTATTAATAGCTGTGATGAACATCCAGTTTAAACACATTTTTACACCATATGGAGAATCAAACAATGTAGGTTTAATTAATTTCATCTATGCTCTGATGTTTGCGTAAAAAAAAAGCTGGCTCTGCTAAGCTAGCATGACTATGAATGATATAAACTACTGAGGCAGATAAAGAATAAAATATACATAGAATTGCATAAAAAATATGAAGTCACCCAACTGAGCAGAACCTTGAGCCGATGTTACATTAAAATATTCTTGAAGCTAACTGTGTGAAGCTATATTAGGTACAATTATGCTAAATGAACTTAATTCGCTTTAAACGTCAGTTTTTTGTGCTGAAAATGAACTGTAGCTTTAAAGCATACAGATGACAAAACAATGCCAATACTAATTAATTTTATGTCGTACTAAAACAAATGCTCGGTGGCTAAGCTAAGTTAGCCTATCTTTAGCTAACTTAACTTGATCGGGAATAGACCAAATGAAAATACAACAAAACCTGAAGTTTATTTTTCAGTTAAAATGAAAATGAGCTACTGTTTAGCATCTTGCTAGCAGTTATGAAAGCTAACTGGCTAGCATCAATGCTACATTAGCTAATGAGTCTTTTGTATCTGTTGTTTAAAAAAAGTAAACAAACGTTAATATAGATCGTTTAATTTTGTACGACCATTTGTGGTGGATCTCCACAATAATAACATACTTATTACAACAAAGAAAAAGAGTTTAGTTGCAGTGGATCTTAAAAGTGTGGAAAACCTGTGAAAATTAAAGATTTTGGTTTTGATGAACCGTTGACAAATATCACTGCTAACTGTAGAAACGTGATTACCGTCTCATCTTAAACTGGTAAACAGTTTTAAGAGACATTGTAACGTTTTTACCGTTTCACAAGCAAAACATTGTAGGTTAAGCTAGGTTAGCTTCATCATGTCAGTGAAGTTAGCGAGAACAAACAAATGTTCACAGAGCAAGAAGTAAAGCAAGAAATATGACTCAAACTATCTTAACAAAATCTTGAGCTCCAGTTGTTACATTAGCATCATGCTAGCAGCTACAGAAGCTAACTGCGAAGCTAATCTGTACCAGTTTCTACAAGCAATTCAACAGCTAGTGGTGGTTAGCTGACCTTGTATCATTTTTTACTACAATTTCAGGTCAAGTTATGTTTCTATTTTCATTTATTTTAAAATTAAACTGAATATTATGTTTTTACTGGGCACTTTGTTTTGGCTGAAGCTGAAATACTCCCATATATTAGCTAAAAAAGCTTAGATTAATAAAAAAAATAAAACAAACTGGTCACAAAAAGACATCACAAACAGTTTTATGTTGAGAAACGCTGCTGGAGCCTCTCCATGTTTGTGTCAAAGACTCCTAGTTAAAGCCCGTTAATACAAAACACATTTGGCACATGTTCAGTAAACGACTAAAACAAAGCTTCTCTAATGTGTGGTTGGTACCGGTCCAGCACAGAGCGGCGAGAAACAAAGAAATATAATTAAAACACATTGGTCCCACTAATCCTCAGTGTGGTCCAGGATCAAATGCTTCATTCACACAGCCTGGCATTAAACTCGTTCAGCCCAGATTTGACTCAAAGTTCCACCTTTTCCTGCTGTGACGCCATGAATTGGATTTCAGATTCTGATCAATGGTGAAGCAGGAAGCGTGCAGAGTTTAATTCCCAGGCTGCAGGTTTTCAGCGAGGCACATTTTGCGTCTGACAGCGATGACGGCGCCCCCTCCTGGTTCAATTTATTCTCAAGGCTGACAGGCGGAGGCTGCGATGCCCTGGGTGTCCACTAGAGGGAGCTGCAGCGCGTTTATTGTCAGAGCTGCACACAGGAATGATTGAAAGATGACAGTAACATGCTGAGGACAGACGGGGAGGAAACGGCGGGGGACGGAGGACGGAGCAGCGTCTCCGGGTCTAACATGCGCATCTTTTGGGGTCGGGCGTTCCCTCGCCCAGCTTGGCGGCGCCGTTCCCGTTGGCGGGGTCGACCGGCGGTTTGTCCACGCACTGCTCCATCCTCTTCATCACCAGGTCCAGCAGCGTGATCACCGCCTTGTCCACCTCCGCTCCGGTGGCTGCACTCGTCTCAAAGTACGGGATCCTGAAAGGACCAAAAAACACCAGCAAGAGGACATGCTTCATGATCAATCAATCAATCAATCAATCAATCAATCAATCAATCAATCCAGGGTTTCACAAACCTAAATTAGCTCCTCAAACAGCTAATATGAACTTTGCTTTATTTCAACTTAAATGTTATAGTAATATTTCAAAGTGTGTTACTTTCATAAAAAACTAATTAAAGTGTATGATTTAAAAATTGGTTGGATTTCATTTTATTATTTTTTCCTATTTTTTCTTGTTTTCTATCCAACCCTCTGCTGCCCCCTGGTGGCCAGGCGTCGAAAAACACTGATTTAATCAAAATAGAATTGGATCAATAATTTCTATTCTGACGATGAATGAAAAACAAACAAACTCAGCAGACTCAGACACACATGCAGTTTTTATTAAAGTTTAATCAGTTTTTCATTGATTTTGTTATTTTCTTGGTATTTGTGTGAATTATTGTCATTTTGGTCATTAATACGTTTCCACTTAGCTTTATATTTTGGTCCATTTGTTGATGTAATTGTTAAATATTAAATAACTGATGATACTTGCCCGTATTTGTCGGCCAGCTCCTTGGCCTGTTTCTCCTGAACTTCCCGCTGGTCGGCCAGGTCCGCCTTGTTCCCGACCAGAACGATGTCCGGGTTCTCGCAGTACGCGTTGGCCTGCAGCTGGCCTGCCGTTCGGTTGCCACAGCGAACCGGCAGAGGACAGAGAAACGTTATTGAAGATTTGAGAAAAATCTGGATTTTTTTTCACCAATTTGCTGGTTGGGTTTTGAGGGCGGCCATCTTGGTTTACAAAAGTTCTTTCACAGCTTCTGTTTGTTTGGATTTTGAATTATTCAGCTAAACTTTGCCACTAAACATAAGAGCCAGGCTGTTTGTATTTTTAGTCACAGAAATAAAAACAGAATAATATACATGAAGATATATAGATATATATGTATACATATACATAGCTGGTTGTTGCTGAATAATAAACTGAAATTTTAAAGCTCTGCTGTGTTTTTTGCTGGATTGGATGATTTAATCAGGTGAATTTGATCTTAAAGCTACGTACTCATCCAGTTGCGGACGTTGAGGAAGCTCTGCTGGCTGGTGAGGTCGAACATCAGCAGGAAGCCCATGGCGTCCCTGAAGAACGCCGTGGTCAGGCTGCGGAACCTGCAGCACAAAATCACAACTACAACGTTATTAAAGTTCGTAACTTTTATATATTTTATATATTAGTTAAAATCGTCACCATGTTGTCAGTTTGTTATGAGACATAAAAGATTGATCTCCCTGAGCTGCTGCTGTCTGAAAAAATGCACCAAAAACAGCCAATCAGAGCCAGGAGGCGGGGCTTAGCGCTGTCAATCATTCTAGTGTACGCCCTGCTAAAGGTGCTACTGGCAGAGAAACAACTTGAACTTACAGGAAAGTCGTTTGCCCACTGTCAGTGGTGGCTGTGCTAACTAGCCTTAGCATGTGCAGCATGCTACGCTAGCTGCACATAGCAGAGAGAAAGGTGGTTTGTGATTGGCAGCGCTAAGACCCGCCTCCTGGCTCTGATAGGTTGCTTCTAGAACTGGGTGACGACAGAAGAGGTCAATATTTTTCACAGATTATCTTATATATTTTCATAAACCGTCAATAAATATGTAAAATATGAATTTTAAAAGTATCTGCAGCTTTAAAGGTGGAATAAATTCCTTTTACTGGTTCAGAGGAAATGTTCCGGTTTTCAGACGTTGTTCTTTATTAAATCTTTTTCTGGTTAAACTGAGACGTTTGAGTTCAGTTTTCTGAATCTTTATTTTTCATTTTGCGTGTTAAACATGTCGAATCTTCCAGGCCAGCGTTCGTCTGCGTTTGGACCAGAACCGCCTGATCCTGGTGATGAATCACTGCAGCATTAGTCACCGATCGTTACGTCACTTTGTCCGCATTGAACCGAGCGGCAGAACCGCAGCTGTGGGAGGAGAGCAGGGAGCAGCGCTGGCTACAGCGACGCTGCGACCCCAGAGGTCAAAGGTCACTTCTATACCAACAAAATGGCTGAAGAAAAGAAAATAATGTTTTACAGTTCAGATAAAACATCTGATTGTGTAAAACTGTTTCACCAAAACTACAAACTATAAACTGGTTTCAGCTTCAGCTGCTTCTAATTCTGTCAATAAATGAAGCATCTTTTCTATCCAATCACTAATATATAAACTAATTTATTGATGAACAAAAAGGAGCTGGAAGTTTAATGCAAACGATTAATTGATGAATCGATCAGTAAAGGAACCATTTTATTTAAAAATAAACTTTTTATTAATATATTCCTAAAGCTGAACAAAAGGCTGATTCTCTTCAGAGCTTCAGAAAATGTTTTTTAATCTAATTAGAATATTAATAGACAAATTGATTAATTATCAGGATGATCACATTAAGGACTGGATATTTACACAGAGACTTTCAGAGTCAAACAAAAGATTCTCTGGAGGAAATTTAGCAATAAATAAAATCAGATTCTGATCCAAATTTCAAATCCTGAGAAATCTGCCCCCTACTGGTGGAAACAGGTTTATTTACAGTTCCAGGGAGCTGTGTCCATCCATCCATCCATCCATCCATCCATCCATCATCCATCCATCATCCATCATCCATCCATCCATCATCCCATCCATCATCCATCCATCCATCCATCCATCCATCCATCCATCCATCCATCCATCCATCATCCATCCATCATCCATCATCCATCCATCCATCCATCATCCATCCATCATCCATCCATCCATCCATCCATCCATCCATCCATCCATCCATCCATCCATCATCCATCCATCCATCATCCATCCATCCATCCCTCATCCATCCATCCATCCCTCATCCATCCATCCATCCATCCATCCATCCATCCATCCATCATCATCCATCCATCCATCCATCCATCCATCCATCCATCCATCCATCCATCCATCCATCCCTCATCCATCCCTCCCTCATCCATCCATCCATCCATCCATCCATCATCCATCCATCCATCCATCCCTCCTCATCCATCCATCCATCCATCCCTCATCCCATCCATCCATCCATCCATCCCTCATCCATCCATCCATCCATCATCCATCCATCCATCCATCCATCCATCCATCCTCATCCATCCATCCATCCATCCCTCATCCATCCCTCCATCCATCCATCCCTCATCCATCCATCCCTCCCTCATCCATCCATCCATCCATCCATCCCTCATCCATCCCCATCCATCCATCCCCATCCATCCATCCATCCATCATCCATCCATCCATCCATCCATCCATCCATCCCCCATCCATCCATCCATCCATCCATCCTCATCCATCCATCCATCCCTCCCTCATCCATCCCACCTCTCCTGTCCGCTGTGTCCCAGAGCTGCAGGTGAACCTTGAAGGTTTTTCCGGTTGTCGTTGCATTCGGGTTTGAAGCCGTGTAAACCTGAAGAGGAGAAACGTTTCAAATCAAATAATCTGAGGATGAAGAGAAATAATAAAAAGAAACAAAGACCAGTTTATTTTCTGTAAAGTTTCTCTTATTTTCACTTCAACATCTTAAAATTAACAGTAAAATCTCCATTTTGTTCTAATCCAGCGAATTATTGATGAGAATCGATCGATTGTAAATACTGTTTTTGCTTCTGGTCATTTATCTGGACTGATTTCCGTGTGGGAAAGAAACCGTGGCGACCCGGCTGACCCCGCGCCCGGTCGCCATGGCAACCCGGCCTCGGCGCCGCAGCGAAGCGAAGCGGAGGAAGCGCCGCAGCCTCACCACTCGCTTTTCCCTGAAGTCGATGCCCACAGTGGTGATGAACTTGGGGTTGAACTTGTTGTCGGTGTAGCGGTAGAGGAAGGTGGTCTTCCCCACGCCGGAGTCGCCCAGCGCCAGCAGCTTGATCAGGTAGTCATAATCCCCATCAGTCATAGTGGAGCCCGAAGAAAACCTGGGAGCAAAATGAAGACATTCTGTCTGCAGGAGGAGGAATCAGAGGCAGCAGGAAACGCTCAGCGCCTCCGTTTCTGGACGACACATTGTTATCGCGATAAACGATAATATCGTTTAAACACAATGACACATTCTGAAAGATCAATAAACGTCAAATGCTAACAAACATTTAAGACATTTTAAATATCCAAAATAACAAAAACACAAATAAAATCAATTATAAAGTTTTTGTAAACAGATCAAATCATCCAGTTTTTGGCAGAAAGAGAAAAACAACAAAAGTGAAAATGGAAATTATTGAGCTTAATTTGTCATGTGATTAATTGATATATTTATTATTAATTGTTGGGAAGGATCACAGTTGATCCTTCACAACAAAAAGACAATCTGTAATTTTCCAGATTGAGAAATGAAAAGCACATTTTCCCATCAGTGTTGTAAAACAAGGCAGGTTTTATTTGTAGGAATGAAGTAATCCTTTATGCGATGAGCTTTTATTTCTGCGTTCAGGAAACATGAGACTCTGGTTAATCAGCTGACTGCAGCATGTTAAATATTGAGCTTTATTACGGGGGAGCGACGTTCTGCCTGCAGTTCAGACGATGACGCCATCAAACCGTCACTCTGAGACAAATTTAGCCTCCTGACATTTAACCTGCAAGGTTTCAATCAGGCCTGCAGGAAACTTTCCAACTGGAAATGAAAACATCAACTATTCTTTTAAATTAATGCACCTTAAAGTGCTTCAAAAATGATTCAAGTCTTCACTGAAATGTAAATAATATGCAACGTATTTCATAATGACATTATTTTCTAAACTAAAGCAGAGCAGTAATAGTAAGTACACCCCAGTGGCTTAAAGAGGGGAAATAAAAACACGTCGTTCATGTTGAACGTTTCGCTGTTTCCATCATCTGTTGCTCCTTGCTCAATAAAACTTCTTAACATAAATAAAAGAACAACGAGGAAACAGAACCTCTGTGTACAAAGACTTCAAAATAAGAGCCTGAATATAAACGGATGACTAAAAAAAAAACTTAACAGTCAAAAACCAAAACTTGAAAAGCATCAGCAGAACCAATGTTTATCATTAGCGACTTAGCATTAGCTTCTGCTAATACTATAATACATTAGTGTTAGCAGAACCGATGTTTATGATTAGCGACTTAGCATTAGCTTCTGCTAATACTATAATACATCAGTGTTAGCAGAACCGAAGTTTATGATTAGCTACTTAGCATTAGCTTCTGCTAATACTAAATACATTAGTGTTAGCAGAACCGATGTTTATGATTAGCGACTTAGCATTAGCTTCCAGCAAAAGCACTTTAGGTTTAGTGGAACTAAATATATGATTCAGACATTAGACCAGCGTTAGCGATGCTAACTCTCTGGTCTCCACTGGGGACCAGTGAGGGTCTTTGGTCTCTTTACAGCAGACAGAGGATGAACGATCCCGTCGTTCCACCTGGAGTCACCAGTTCCCTCTAACTCTGGCTGAAGAACATCCGTTCCCCGACGGTGGATATTTTCTGAAAGGTCAGCTGGACCTTTAGGTCTGACTGATGTGTCCTCCGCTTCAACCTAACCTGATCACAGAACTAATTTGTTTTCCATCTCCTGCTGTCGCTAACAATCTGTCCTCCGCAGCCACAGATCAATAGCTGCTAACGCTGATGAGGGCTGGCCTTTAACTATTCAGTTACTCAGGACGCCCAGACGCTTTGCAGCAGATTGTCCTGAACGTTCAGCGTCTCCGCAGAAGAAACTGCAGAAACATTCAGGATGAATAATTCACTGCTGCCGACATCCTCAACTAACACAAAACACAGCAAACCTGCAACAGGCTTCAGGGCGGAATAAAGACCATCTGAGACATTCCAGAGATTAGTTCAGTCAACACAACAGAGTCATTATTTACCCAGCAAACAGGAAGTCAACATGGCAGCAGACTGGATGGGAAACAAGCAGGGAGTTTTATCTAGAGCCCAGCGAGGCGGTTCAGGATGATCTTCATGATAAAAACAGAAAATTATTCAATTATAAAGGAAACACAACAGTGACCAGCTGAACAAACCTCACAGTTTGATGAGTATAAACCATACAGTGTTTCATTTATTCTGCTCCAGAGCAGCGTCCAGATTTACAGGTTTGTCTGAAAAGGCAACCAAACCGGATCATCACATTCCTGCAGGCCGGTCCACTCAGAACCAGAACCAGAACGGAGAGAGCAGATTCACAGATTCATCCTGCAGTGGAAACAGCTGAGCTTTGTGCTGCGTCCTCATGACTGCAGCAGCCGCGACGCTTTGGCCTGGACAGATGGAGGCGGATCGGCGCCGAAACCTCCTGCTGGACAGAACGACGACCCGATTCCTGCGCTTCTTCACTGAGCTTCACAAGATTACAAACCAGAAAAATATCCACAAATAAACATCAAAACAATAAGACCTGGAAGCAAAGACGTTCTGCATCGAAACGGAGAAAAAAATACGACTTAGAAATCCTGAAAAACTGGAATAATTAGAAAAATAACAAATATTTCTAAAACTAATAAGGAAAAACTGGAATTTATCTGGGATTTTTAGGGGAAGCTAAGTGCGCTAAATGAAAGGCTACCTTTGCTATTAGCGCATTAGCATTAGTTCACCAGCCACATGCTAGTGTTTCTGGACGTTTTATCTACATCAGCAGATCTGGACGGCGGATCTGTGGCTCCATTTTCTATAAAACGTTTCATATCTCATCATTTTACCACAACAGGAGAATTTACTCTGCTGCTAAAACCACGGTGAGAATCACTGTGTTTCTGTCTCCCGCCCGCTTCTTGCTTATCCAGTTGGAGGTCATGTGACCGGTCAGCTGACTGGATGAGCGGCGGCCATTTTGCCTCCGGTCTGCAGAAACAGAACATCCTGTTTGTTCTGCGTTTTTCCGCCTCCAGGATCTTTAAAGTGGTTTGACCTGAATATTTCAAACCAAAGGGAAACGTTCATTAAATCACATTTTAGACCCGTTTAGGTAAAACACATTTAATTTGGTCAATAATGAGCCGTATATTTAGTGTTATTAGAAACGTTTCTCCATCTATTGGTTTTTATTAAACTAAGATGAAGAAAGCAGCAGTTACATTAATTTATGCATTTATGTTGAAATAAATAAATTCAGGAATATTTTGTTTTGTTATAGCAGGAAACTTTCACATCATAACAAGATTGAAAAGAGGTTAAAAATACAAAATGAGAAATGTTTTCATTATAAAGAGATAAGTTTTATATTATCAAAACAGGAAAGTTTGTCATTTGTTTCTTGTTTTAACAAAAAATGTGTTTATCTTGTTTGTCTTGATTCAACAAGAAATGATCATCATAACCAAAAACCAATAAATAATTAATAAATAATAACCTGATTAACTTACACTCTACAAATTTATTTAAGACTTTAAGGCCTGAATTTTATTGATTTAAGGCTTTTTAAGGATGCATGGACAACTATCGCTAAATATTCTCCAGCATTTATTCCATGTCAGCTAATTTCCATGTTCCTTAATTGATTTAGCATAAAGTCATGAGTCCAAAATAAGAACTTTTACTGAGGAAAAATCGCTAAAGAACAATTTCAGACCTGCGATTAGCATTTTTAAAGCTAACTCGCATTTTTAAATGAATTTAAGACGTTTTAAGGCCTTAATTTGACATGAAGCTTTTTCACTTATTCATCTTTTTAATAAGATAAAAATGGCTGTAAAGTCAGAATAATTTTTATCATGTTGGAAGGGTGTACTTAGTTTTTCCCATGACTGAACATCTGTTAGGTTTTCCTGTGGCTGAAGAACAAACCCAGACGTTTCGACCTCATCTGAACTCTGAATGTCAACTGAAATGAGCCTAAACTGAAACCTGTTCATGAGATTTATCAGATAATTTCACTTTAAAATCCTCCAGAGAGTAAAGAAAACAAACAGATTCACTCAGAGCTCAGGATTTGAGTAGGACAGAACCAGAACGACAGAGTAAAGTCCAAAAGAGACGCTGACTGCGCAGAAACTCTCAACAGAACCACAACTGTAACTTTAAGGGAGATTCTCAAATAACCGTTCAGTTCAAAATGACGAAAACTTCAATCAACCAACCAATCAATCAATACAAAATGATTTTTACACCAAGCGTTAAAATCAAACTAAAAAAACTAAGGAAATCTCATCCGGCCTCCAGATCCTGCAGCAGCTGATGAACATCAGCAGGTTTGTCTCACCTGAGTCCAGAAGGTTCTTCAGATGAAACCGGTTCTGTTAACAAAATGAACCAGAATCAGAACTTTTTAAAGTTTCTAGCAGCAGAAGCAGCTTCTGCACTTTGGCCCAAATGTAAACTCAAATATTGACCAATGAAACTGCAGCGTTATAAATCATAAAAGAGGAAAAGCTCAGATATCAGACGAGTTTTCACACGTTTCCTCCTTCAGAACCAACAACGACCCGGCGGGTCACAGGAAGATTCATTCATTCACTCACAACCAAACTTTAAAGGTTGACGTCAAACTTCTCGGCTCGTTTTCCCAGAAAGAAGAAATAAAAACTCAATTCGTGTGAAGAAATTACAGTTTGAATAAATTCAAAGTTTAAGAATTTATCAGCTGTTTTCATCATAATTTCTAACAGAATATCAGGCAAAGTGGTGGAGAGGTGACGATGCAAAGGTCATTTTATCTTCATGGCACATTTTCAGAGTTTTTACAGGAATTAAAGGGAAACAAACAAAATACCAAACCAGAGAAAATGAAAATAATCTACCATCTCTAAACGAGTCGCTCCTGTTCAGGTTGGTAGATAACAGCCGATTCTGCTCTGCTTGTCCCTAAAACGGGTCGTTAACAGAAATGACCAAAACCAAAGCAGCAGCTGTGATGTCCTAGTCAAAGACCAGACATTAATCTTATTGAAATGATGTAATGTGGAAAAAAAGAATGGACCAAAACTCCTTCATGACGATGAGAGGAGAAAACGCTAAAGTTGGGCAGGAAATGTTCAAGTTTTTAAAATTATTTTTCACATTTCTGAGTTTTTTTCCTGCAAATTTTCACATTTTTGTTTTTTCTAGAAAACATTTGATTTTGGGCAGAAATGTAATGTTTTTTAATAATCATCACAAAAATGACTGATATGATGCAGCCTTAACAGAAAGAACCAAAACATGCAAACAGAAGATCAATAAATTCAAAGTTTTTCCGAGAACATTTCTCAGATTTATCTCAAAATTTCAGTGTTTTTGCAGAAATTCAGGTTTTTTTCTATCCAAACCATTTAACAAACAGATTTTGTAATACAGAAAAGGCCAAACAAAAAAAAAACAAACGCCCCTGCATTCTGGCGCCCCCTTCAGGGTGGCGCCCGATCACACAATGCGCTGCTGTGTGACGTCAACTTTCTTCTGCGAATTTGGATAATAAATCGATCATACAGCCTCGTTATTACTCATAATTAATCAGCAGCATGAAAGAAGACATGGAGCTTAGTAAAAATAAAAATGAATGAATAATCGGAGCATTTTCACCTTCATGTTTTTCTTCTATTTTTAGACAAAAACTTTGTTCAAAACTCCGGTTGGCTATAAACTCAGGACTCGTTTTATTGCCGCCATAAACTTATTTTTTAAACTTGAACAACGGAGCAATTTTAACCTAAATCTGCTTTAATTCCCTTATTAATATAAAACAAGAAGAAACAGAGAAAGTTCAGCTGGAGCTTTTTATATTCCAGAAAAAATAACTTTTTTTTTCTAAATAAAATCAGAAGAAGCGAAAGTTTCAGGCTTTAAACAGAGAAACTGATGGAGGAGATTTTGATTCTCACTAATGAGTCAAAAACCAGGAAACTGCAGAATCCCGCAACTCCTCCTGTCTGCGGTTCCTACCTGTCTGCGGTTCCTACCTGTCTGCGGTTCCTACCTGTCTGCGGTTCCTCGCCGTTTCTCGCTCAGATCCGGAGGGAGACGCTCAGCCTGCGTTCACCCGCAGACCGGAGGCTCTGCTGGGACGCGGAGCGGCGGGGAGGCGGAGGAGGCAGCGGGCGGAGAGCCACGCCTTCCGCCGAGCAGCTGACTGGCTGCGGGGCGCCACGCACCACTGACCGGTTACCGTCCGCTCCGCCTCTCGGACCGCGGGGGAAACTATTCACACCCGGAAGTATATTCAGCCTTCAGACACGTTTCATCTGAGTCACAGAGAAAGTTAAAGGGAAGGAAAACCTTCATCCATATATCCATTCGTTTTTCCGTTGATCCATTCAAGTGGATTTAGGTCTGGACTTTGACTAGGCCATTCCCACCATGAATCAGCTTTGAACCATTCTTCCCTTGTCCTTGTCCTCCCCACACAGCATGATGCTGCCACCACCGTGCATCACAGTCACAACGTTGCATGTAAATCTAGAAGCTCGGCTTCCTGTGTCTCCAAAGGAGCCAAACTTTGAGAACTTCCTGTTGGAGATTCCTCTGTTTCTGAGAGTAATGAGAGGGTGAGGCTGCGATGCAGAAAGATACGAGTCTGAACACACAATAACACACACACACTCTGTTATCGGCGCCGGGGGCCCGGGGTCATGCTGGTCCAGGAAACCAGAGCAGTCGAACAGGAAGTGAGTAAAAACCAGGCGGACGAGTCAAACCAGGTAAGTTCTGGGAAGGAGGAAGTGACATCACTTTCTAGAGAATCTTAAAAATGCAGAGGCTGCAGAACAAGTTTTAGCAAAGGTTCTGTTTGGTTTCTGACCCACCAGCTGATTTCTAAAGGCTCATTTCGTCTTTTCTTTATTTTCCTGTTTCCATTTGAAGGAAGAGTGAAAAAAACTGCTGGTTTATTTTGAAAGTTGCAAAAGTTTTAGTGGGAATTAACAGAAACTTCCAGGAAGAAAAGGCAAAAACATGCAGTTTTAAAGCTACAGTTCTCCTTCATTTGGCTCAGACACAAAGAAAAAACCAGATGAACTGAACGTATCTGATGAGCAGCGAGTTCATTTTACCTGCAGAAGGTTTTAAGACATGAGGAGAAAATCAAGAGAAAAAACTGAAAAGAAAATAGGAAAATTATGTTTTTGATTTTATTTCATTTTCATAAAAATAATCCAGTAAATATCCTGATACATTTTCCTCTCTTTGCCTTCCTTAAAAATCTCAGATCTGCTGCTGCGGCGACTTCCTTCACTTCACTGAACATGAAGAATCCACTTCCTGTTCGCCACTGAAAGAACGAGCAGAACGAGGAAGAAGAAGAAACATCAGATTGTTTTTCACTGGGTTGGAAAAGTCCTCCATTTATGGAATAATATCAGTGACAAAACTTCATTTAACCTTCATTGTTTATGGTTGGAGAATTACAACAACTGACTGAAATGTCTGGCAGAAATAAGGAAACTGAAAAAAATATTTCATTTAAACAAAGAAAGTTTTGGGGCAATTATTTTTATTTTCTTGGTTTAAAAGGTTTTTAGTTCATTTCCAGCAATAAAAGTGAGAATTTTCTTTGATGTGTTTTGCCAAATATGATGGTGTTTATGGATCAAAGGTCACTGGATGTTTGTGACATGACTTTCTATGACATAAAATAAAATAAAACATAATAATTCTGAAAAAAAATCTGATGTTTTTCATAGAATATTTTATTTATTTTTTTTTGGGATAATGTGGCATCTTCCTTAAAATTCTTAGTTAAAATTCAAAATTCTGGCATTTCTCGTAATTTTGAAATTTTTCACAGAATTTAGAATTTTGGGAATTTTGACTTTTTTCAACTGAATTTTAACTTTTTCACTCCGAATTCTGACTTTTTCACACTTTTCTTTGTTTTTCACGTAATTTTGAAATTTTTCACAGAATTCTGACATTTTTCAGAATTTTACTTTAAACTCAGAATTTCCTTTTGATATTACAGGTCAAGAGTTACTTATTATCAAATTAAAGAATTATGATTGTGTGTTCTTAAAGTTTTCCACAAACAGTAGAAATGTAATTTTCACCATTCTTGCCAGGTGCCACCAACGGTCCCTGAACCACACTTTGGACACCCCTAATGTTTTGTAACATTTTGATCAGGTTTTACACATTTCATCCTGACTTCAGATCAATAAACTTTTTATTTCTCTTTTCACCCTGAGACGTTTCCAATCCCCGCTCTCTGATTGGATGATCGTCAGAAAGCCAAACCAATCACCGGCCACCGAGACATGAAACATGACAGCAATTCCCACAATTCCCAGTGAACCAGAGAGAAGCTCAGAGAATGAACTGGTTTCATACTGGAAGTGTCTCTGCGGCTCACAGCCGTTATCCCCGGCCTGCAGTGACATCATCATCAGCTGACGGTGGAAATCGAAGGCCGACTTCCCAAAATACGACAACCTGAGGCCGGAGCAAATCCAGCTGCCGGATCGGATTCAAATCAAACTTTCCCATCTGACGTTCAGCAAACCAGACGCATCAAACCCAAAAGGCAGAAAAAACGGAAAACATTACAGACAAGGTTCTGGTGATCAAAAGCCTTCAGCAGTTAATAAGAAACATTGTGAGAACCTCAATACAAGCTGATCTGCTGCTTCAGGTTCATCCCATCATTTCTCTTAGGCTGATTTAAACCAACTCTGGGTCCGTTTCTCTAGAAAATCCGGTTCGTACCGAAACACCGAACCGAATCCGTCTACGAACTTTAAGTTTGGTTCAAGTGAAGTCTCAGCGGTTTGCATGCAAATGTGATGAAACAAACAGAGACCGCTCCAAAAGCAGGAAGTGGACTAGAGCGCAGGGCATTCTGGGTAAATACAACCAAACCTAGCATGCATCCTAGCGCTAGCTGCAGAAATGGTTCCTGGTCTTTAGCCTAAGACTAATAAGAAATCCTCCAGCACTAAACTCTGACGCCTCCATCTTGTTTCCATCTGGTAAAGAAGAAAGCTGCTCTCAGTGTCTTCAGACGTTTTGTGTCGTTTCCTTCAGTGGTTGTTGGTGCAGCGCCCCCACAGGTCAGGAGGGGAACAGGCTGGTTTGACTCAGAACCACAGCAGCTGGAGGTGGAGCAGATAATGGAGTTCTGGTCCAAATCAAACCAAATCTATGAGGTGGGAAACAGCAGCATTGATCCAAGATCAGCTGCTGCTCATCAACCTCTGAAGGGTTAAAGGTCATCTTTAAACCAGTCCATTATTCTCCAAAGAGAAAAACTTCTCAGAAAGCTGCCAAGCTTCCCAGAATGAAACAAATTTACAACAAACTAATTAAACAGTTTTTCAGCAGACAGTTAATTTAATGATGAGAAATAATCAGAATTGGATAAAGTTTCTCAGAAATCCTTATTTTTTTATTGCCAGAGGAAAAGTCGCATTTCAGAGCTGAAATCCCAGGATCTGGTTTCAGACGCTGCAGCTGAAGTGAAGCTCATTGTTTTCTGACTGTGAAGCATTTTGCAAACTAAGGCCTGAACTGAACTGGGTTTATCTCTAAGACTGTTTCCGTTGGAAGCGTTTGCTCTGCTGAGGAGGATTAAGATCAGATCGCTGTGGCTCATGCAAAGCAGAAAGAAAACCACGTGGAATAGAAAGGAATGTTTTCTGCTGTTACATCTGCAGCTCAGAGAAAAGTTATGAATAAATCTGGAGGATTTTTACTTATAACACAAACTTTTAAATCTGTAGAGCAACACAATATGACCAAACAGTTTGAGAGGATTTAAATTTTCCTCGTCTGAAACCAGGATGTGTGGAAGTGAAGGTCAGTTTTTATGAGCCCAGCTCAACAATCAGTCGGTCATGCAGCTTCAATTACGGCAGGAATGTTGCCTCCTATTTCCAGCTGCTACCGTCACATTCAACCACTTAGAATAATCAAAGTTCAGTTTTATTTCACTGTGGCGTTTTGTCCCTTTAATTCAGTTAGTTTTAATAAAAACTGTGGCTACGTTTACATCGATTGGGTATTGAAGACACCATTTTCAAAAATCTATTAAATTGTTGAACAACCAACAGACTTTTTTTGCCGTCGCCATTTTGCGACAAAACATTTATAGGAGAAAGTCTGAGACCAACAGCCTCACTTGGAGTCATTACCTGAGGATTCAGGAATGCACCAGTCAGGGTTCACATTGTTGGCAGTTTCAAACCCGCTGCTTGTTAGCCAAGGCGACGCCACGAGTCAGCAGAGTGGCAAACAAAGACGTAAACAACAAGCAATTTCATTATTTTGGCATGAAAATTAAACTAACTCAATTCTGTTGTTATTTTGAACTGCAGAGGTCAGTCACTACCACAAGGGGGAGGCAACACACAAACTGAAGAAACAGAAGAAGCTGCCTCATGAAAAGCATCAGAAGATGAGTTTTTTTATTTGTGTACTTGAGTATTGGAATAGCTAGCATTATGCTAACACCTCCAACACATTATTGCATATCCGCCTCTTAAAACCTGATAACTGCTGCTCAATAATTCACTGATGACACGTTAATTATGTTGACCTCATGTGACACTATGCCATCTCTTTGTCTGCGCTGTGAAGATCCAACGGCCTTGGCCTGCCGCCTGTATGAAACAAACAGTAAAACTGATGTCATGACCTTCTTTCTGATTTATTCGCTTTCATCCCAAGAAGGAAAGTTAATAATTAACTAATAAAATAAAAGCCTCTGATGTCACAGGAAATATAAACTGATTCACTTTTCAGAAGTGGAACATTAATTCTTCCAAGGCATGACAGGACTTGATGTTCCACCAAGTCTGCTTAGTTTTGCCATGTTTAGTCCCCGTACCAAGACATCAACAGACGCCAAGCAGAGAAAAGTTTCCATGCTGAAGGTCTGGCTCAGTTTGACTCTTTCACTGCTTTGGAGCTGAAATATTTACTGCTAACAAAAATAAGTCGAAACATAATCATGCCGGTGAATAGGTTTGTTAAAAAAGAAAATATTTTTCCTGAAA